TACTGGTAGACTGCCCATGCTCCAGTGGGTGGCCCCACACCCACACCCACACCCTAGAAACACTAATGGGTTCAGTGGGTTATCAAAAGAGGCTATGGAGACTTGAGGAGGATGTGGCAGAAAGGAGGCTGGGAGAAGTTGGAGGGGGTGTGGGAGGGTAACTATGAACAAAATACATCATATACATGCATGACATTCTCAAAGAATAAATAAAATGTATCTTAAATTGAATGAGGTATGAGATCTCACATCCCTGTAAGGCAGCCACAGGCTATTGAGGTACCAGCTAAATAACCAAGTGTCAAGATTCTGATCTCCATCACCTCCTGCCACCCTAAACCTCCATGTCATCCAGGTATGTCATCCTGAGTAGTATTGGCCCTGAGCAGTAGGCATCCAGGCTCACAAACTCTGCTGTACCTAGAGCAGCGGTTCTCAACCTGTGGGTCACAACCCCTTTGACTAACCTCTATCTCCAAAAATATATTACAATTCATAACAGGAGGAAGACTACAGGTATGAAGTAGCAATGAAAATAATTTTAATTGCAGCATTAGGAAGGTTGAGAACCAGGGCTGGAGAGATGGCTCAGCAGTTAAGAGCACTGACTGCTCTTCCAGAGGTCCTGAGTTCAATTCCCAGCAACCTTGTGGTGGCTCACAACCATCTATAATGGGATCCAATGCCCTCTTCTGGTGTATGAAGACAGCTACAGTGTATTCATATAAATAAAATACATAAATAAATCTTAAAAAAAAAAGCTAAGTTGAGAACCACTCACCTAAAGTGCCTATGAGTCATGGAAAGCTCCTTGAATGGACACACATTTCTCAGCTCCCTGTGGGAGCAGCTGTTCAGACAGAGGTGGTCATTCACAGCTCTCCACTTTGTTCGTTATGATGAAAAACACCAAGAGTGTTCCTCTTTGTGCTCATGATAGCAAACCCTGGCTACATCTTTAGAAGGGGGCCTTAAAGAACTCTCCTCCGCCAGGCATCTGCTCTGGGTGCCCATCACGAGAATGCAGCTGTTTGCAAGCCAGTAAATGTTCAGCAGAAACAGATGGACATGTCAGAATCTTGATGTTGGACTTCTGACCTCCCAATGGTGGGAAAAATGTTTACACTTCCCAAACTAAGTGATTCTGTTATGGCAACTCAAACAGACTAATACAAATCCTTCTATAATTCTGCCCAGTAAGACTGTAAATGGGGCAAACCCCCACTTCCTTCTTGAATGCTGTAGCATTTCCTCAGGGTGGGGATACGCTGAAGCCCCTGGAGATTGCTATCACTGTGTGGCAGCACAGCAGGCCAGCAGGGGAACAAAATACTGTGTCTCAAGTTCTACCTGGTGTTAAGTTGAAAGGGGGCAACGACTATACAATCTAATCATTCTTTCTGTCATTCACTGAACAATCAGATCCCAGAAGGCAGGGTACAGCCAGCTTGGTCCACTGCAGGAGAGCCTGGAGTCCAGTTGGCTGGAGGGAGCTCAGGGGGTGTGCTTGCTACCCTGATTGTGGGTTTTGGTGGGGTAAACTCCCTTACTTCTGCACTGATATAGAGCTTACCCTCTAGGCCTGTCTTCCTGTAAAGTTTCCCTGTGGTCCACTCTGTGGGCCAGCCTCTGTCACTTAGGAGGACTGTCAAAGTTTCATTGTCATACAAGCCACAGATGGCTTTGCCTCCTGGCTATCTCCTTATATCCCGACTTTCCTCATGAAGGGAGGACTACCTAGGTCCTCCCTTCAGCAATCTCAGCTCTTGACAGCATCTTCAAATTTGCCCTCTTCTGGCTCCCAAATGTGTGGAAGGGGCAGGGTAGGTCAGACCAAATTTTTCCTCCAATGTGAAAGGACACGGTAGGGTTTTACAGGATGCTGGGGGAGGGGAGAGGGAGGGTGCCTGGAGTCCAAGGCTGCTTTGAAGTCTGTTTTATCTTAAATGTAAATGTGATCCTACTGTAAGATCCACTTTCCTATAGAACCATGTCTGAGTCCATATGAGTGTATTTTAACTGACTTAACAAATAGTCTATAAATTACATCGATGTAGGCCAGGGGTCAGGAGACAAGAATCTTGGTCCAGAGTCAGGGAATGAACTTCCTAGGCTTTCACAGCCACAGGCTCCCAGGACAACCATGGTCTCAGCACAAAAGCAGCACTGCCTGGAGTGAGTGTGGCTGTGCACTAACTTTATTTATGGTGATTTAAATGTGATATAATCTCTATGTCCATGGAATATTCCTTCGGCTTTTCCTGTAATTTATGCATATGAAGTCCCTTCTTAGCCTGTGGCTGTAGTTGGCTGGCTTCCCTCTAGAAAGCTATGTGGGGCCTGCAGATTCACACACGAAGCCAAAGCCACAGTAGGGACAGTGCATTTAGACTGTCCTTTGTTCTTGCCTTTCTGCTCACCGGTTGTGCCACTGAAGGCAGGTAGCCATCTACTTGAACTGGGTTCTCACCTGGGGAACACATTGTGATAAGCTCACATTTCTCAAGCCTTGACACAGTGACCCAGAGAGGCACCAATAGGTGCTGTGGTGATCATCAATGATGCATGTAGCTCAGCTGCCCGGGGTGGGAGGCCAAGTGTGTGAGGAGTGTCGATTTCTCTTTTGTAGGCCCCTCTCCCTCAGGTTCTTATAGCTGAGAAGGTACTCAAGGCCTGCCATTCTTCTTTCTAGTGGGGCCAAGCACAGAGATACCAAGATGTCTTCAGATTATACCCTGGCCCAGAAACCTCTTAACACCAGTGTTAACAGGCCTAAGAAATACTTGCCCAAATTAATTGCCTCCCGATTGGCCTCCAGGCTGATATTGGTGGCAAAAGGCAACACGAGCTAGCATGGTCCCTCTCCTTCAGCCATCTGCAGTTAATTCTAGTTTATGAAGTTCCCAGGCAGAATAGCTGCCTGCTCCCCCCAGTTCCCCCCAGTCAACTTAGGGCTCAGGAATCAATCTGGATTCTTAAAGGCCAGCTCTGTCACTGACCAGTTCATTGACTAGATAAGCTATCTACCCTCTCTGGACCTCAGGTCTCTCATATCTCACAGAGACATGCAAAGTTATTGTGGGGACCGAGGACAAGGCCGTTAAGCACTCTGAATAAGTCCTGGTAAAGTGCAGTGAACTACTTCCCTGTTCCTGGTGATACAATGGTCTCTTTATCCACCTAGAACACAGGTCATGCCGAGGGAAACCTTTCTTGTGTGTGGGCCCTGGAGTTGGGCTGGTTCCCTGCAGTGTTTACCAGTGTGCATGCCTTGGGACCTGTAGCAAGTACTTTGTTCTTTACTTCTGGTTTCTCTTCCTAGTGGAGCTGGCAACTTTCAGTGGCTACTGAGGAGTAAACGAACCAGGACTTGACTCTGCCCATTTTCATCAATCCCACTGTGGACCCTTCAGGATCACAGATGAGGAGACACCTCAGGTGAGGTCTCCACAGAACTGAGAGGTCTGTCGGGGACTCTGCTGCTCTCTTCTCACCTCAGCTCTGGCTTTTCTTCTCTAAGGCTCAGGCATCAGAGCTGTTTGGGTAACAGAACTGTCACTGCCACTGTTTCCAGTCCCGTACTAAGCTCATGAAATACTTAGTGGGAGACAGAACCTAATTTATTTTATCCCACAGATATCTTGTATGGGGACCATAAAAGCAGCTATAAGTAGCATGTCCTGGGCTCCCGCTGTTCAACTCCTATACTTCAAATAATAGGTCTGAAAAAACTGCAAACACAACCAAACTAAAACTGAATCCTTGGGTTTGGCCAATTCTGACTTAAATTCTTTTGAGGTTTCCAGGTCGAGCACATGAATGAGGCCACTTAATGAGAGTAGATGCCAACGAATCAAGCATAAAAGTCTTCAATGGGGGTGGCTTTGTGTCTGCCATTTTCCCCAGTGCCAAGTTTTCATTTAAATTCTTCAGAGTTCTGGTCTCCAAGTTGAGATGTCCCAGACTGGTATTACAGAAGCCAGGACTAGGATGTTGTCTTCTGTCAGTGGGACCATGAGCTCTGGCTTCAGCTCTGCCCCCTAAGACTAAAATACCCCGGGCAGCTTATGGCAAATATAAATACTAACAATCGTACAGACTACCTCTTGCATTGGGTGGAGGTGTGGATGTACTTTCTAACCCTTGCTATGGTGGGGGAGGAGGGTGTCTGGGTCAGGTGCTAAGTCAAGGAACAAAACAAAAACTCTACTAGTGAGTTAGCTCTTTATCGAGGAGGGCCCCTGAAGTCTCCTTTAGGGATTTAAAAGGCCATTCATTGACTGTGTGTGTCTGTGTATATGCACGCATGCGCATGTGAGAGGGCAACTTTCAGGAATTTCTCCTTTCACAAGATGGCTTCTGAAGATCAAACTTAAACTGTTATGCTTGACAACCATTCACCGGTCCTCCATTAGAGATCTTAAGCTGGTGACCGTACTTCCTGCCGTGAGAAATAACAGGAAAGAGCTCTGCGATCTGACTCTCAGGACCTCACCCTCTTACTTGCCTAGTGAGGGCTCCCAGATAGCACCTTCACCCACAGGGGAGGCTGGGCTAGTGTCATGTTTCATCTTAACAGGGGCCACTCCTTTCCCTCCAGCCTCATTGATTCTCTCATCTAGTTCTGGAGCCAAGGAGCTGTGCTTCCCCATATGCAGAGAAACAAAGTTCTTAAAAAGAGACCAAGTCTTCTTGTGTCTTCTGAGACACACCACCCACAGCAGCCTAGCTCGTTTTGAGATTCCAGGTTCTACTACGACACACAGTATGGGTTTAAAGAAGTGTCTTTAGGGAGAACCTAGGGGCTGGTTCTGGAGGGAGGCTATGCTGCTAATTCCTTTCCATGGCACAATTTAATGTGTTCTGATTGTAGAGACGGGTCAGATCATCTCCTAAGAGTGCTATTCAGCAGGAATCAGGCACCTAGAAGGACTGTAGATTCCTGGTATACACAATACATTCATAAATCTGAATTTTGAACTTCCTTTTTAAATCCAGGATCAAGATCACAGACAATTTATTATCTGAAACATGGGTGAGGAATGACCAGGGAAGTTACGGCTGAGTCACATGGAATTAGATGAAGAGGCTCAAGTTTGCTGAAGAGAGTTTAAATTTGGCTTTTGCTCTCGGAACGTTAAAATAATCATAAGAAGCACTTATGCCTTACAGAGCAAATAATCCACAGTGTCAATTTCATTTTGCAAACAGTATCACAACAGCAGTCAACAGAAGCCTAAACACCCGAGAGTTAACATACAGGTTTGGTAAGATATAACAAGGGTTTGCGCATGCTGGTGGTTAAGTCAGGTCCACACCGAACCCTGTGACCTACTTGGAGGTTTAAGTGGAAGCTGGGGAGGGCAGCTCTCCACATGAAACAACACGGGAGACACAGGGAGAGTAGACTCTGCTGGGTGTCTATAATGCTCATTTGCAGTAAGGCTTTCAAGATACAGGAGTTTTTATAGCATTTGTATTTTAAGGATTTAGGGCAAATACATTTTTTTCTACTTGATAAAAAGAAAGTTAGTACTTAAAAGGTTCAAAAATATATTGATTGCGTGTTTCTTTTACATAAATAAATTATATTGATTTTTAGATTTAACAGCTGAAAACCCTTTCTGCTTCCACTGGAGGCAAAACTGAACAGAATGTTAGTTCAATAGTGAGCAGCATTTCTAAGAAATCTGTTATCAGCATCACAGACCTTCTACGCTACAAAGACGTCATTAAATATCATTTATTCAGTTCTTGGATTCTTCTTTCTTATAGATCAGTTATAGATTTTCTAGTTTATATCTATGATTCATAAAACTGGGACTCTCCGTTTTGAAAATACACCTGATTGTTTTTTTTTTTTTTCCGGTCACAATTTAACAGACTTCTTTGAGATGCTCATTTTAACATTTACATAATTTATAACCCAAATGTATAAAAGACAATGACAAAAATCATCATAAATAAATAATGCAAACTGAAATAGCATGCCAAACTTTCGGACCTTCTGATAAATTAGGAAAACTGTAACAGAAACAGTAAAAAAAAAACAGTCAATTGTGACACCGAAGTGAACCTGGTACTCGGGACACCCGCCACCTGTCCAGCCCGAGCCTGTGCCCCAGAGAACTAGGCTTAGCTGGTTCAAGTCTCAGCAGGAGCTGTCCACGGAGAAGACCATCAGGGGGACATGATGTAAGGGGGAGGGGGAAGGAACCTGGAAGCTGAAGAGCCACCGAGAGGGCTCTTCCCTGCTCAACTCTACAACACAGTGTTGGAGAGCGGACACTGCTGACTTACAGAACCTTGCCTGACTGACAATTTGGAATTTGGGCCCAACTCTAAGATACAGTCCAAGTGGAGAGAAAATGGAGAGGGACAGAACTTCACAGTTGCAATGTAAAAGGTGGTGTGCGTGTTTGGACACGCTGTGCTGATGACAGAATCGAGCAGGGCTGAGTGATTACCTTCCGAGATGCCAAAAAGCCTGGCTCTGGGTGAAAGAACACAAAATGAAACCCAGCAGGTTTCTAAGAGGGGAAACAGTAGCTGCAGTCCCGTGGGAAGTGCCAGCAGCACCCGTGGACCCTGAGCAGGGAGCACCCTCCCAGGTGCTGCAGGAACTCAAGGTGCTCACGTGTCTCAGACTCAGCAGGGATGGTTTGTATGCTGCCTAGCTGGCCAGTATTTCTTCTTGCTGAAGAGGAGAAAACCTTGAGGGGGAAACTGTATTACTATCTGGAAGGTTCCTGTTTTAAAGAAGCCATCAGTATATGCATTTTGAACCATTAGTTTATATCCTGTAGACTACACTACTCAGTAACCATGATAAAACAGGGACACCTGAACTACAAAGCACCACTGACACTTCCTACCGATTGCCTCCTGGTTTCCTCGACACGCTCTTCTTCTTCAGTCGCTCAAAAAGAATGAACGTGCACTCGTTTTCATCTTTGCTCTTTGGCCCACAGTAGACCCCTAGACAGCTTTCTTCTGCCGTTTTCTTCCTCAGATGAGTGAGACTTGAAAGAGAAGGGGAAGGCGGTATGTCACCAAGCACTGTATCAACTGTGATTGCTGGAATGAACCGGATAAAAGAAAGAATTCTGTGCCTCCTAGACTAGGCAGGTGACACTTATCTAACAAAGTGGCAAGACCCTGCAACTATTAACATGTTACCATAGTTCTCAGACAGGAAATTAGGTAGGTAATATTACTGATGAAAACACAGGTTCTTATGAAGGTGAAGTGAGGGAAGTAACAAACCTTTATGGGATAAGAAACTTACAAGTCACAACAATTTCTTAAATGAAAAAGTTCTAATTGGTATCATCGTTGGAGTCTTTGAGCCCCTCTTCCCTGGCCTGTGCCATGTGTTCTCTCTCTGGGGACACAGTGGCACTGGACTCGGTGCAGTTCTGATCACTGCCTGGCTCCTTCTCACACGCAGAAGCAGGCTCTGGGGTGGGGTTGTCCCCCTTTGATTTCTTCTTTTTCCTCTTCTGGGTCTCTAGACCAACAATATCTGAGTGTCTGCCCTGCTGCATGGCTGGCAGAGCCATGCCCATGCCAGGGGAGAGAAACATGGAAGGGTAGATGAGTCCAGGAGACACTCCTGGGATGAGAAATGGGTTGAAAGCCACAGGACTACTAGTAGTTATTGTGGGTTCAGACTGATCAGAAAATGGACTAGGGCCAGGCTTATCTTCCACCAGAGTGTCTGCTTTTATATCATGGCCACTCAGCTTGTCCTCTGCCGTTTTTTCAGTGGCTGAGGTACCACTTTTTGTGCTTGTGAGAGACGCTGATGCAGCGGTCGTGCAGGTGGTTGCCATGGGTGTGTTGAGGAGTCCGCCAACACCAAACATCTGGGGCACTGTGGCCATGCCTGGCAGCATCATGGGCAGCATGCTCAGGGTGTTTTTAACCTCTTCACCAGTAGGCATGGTGGCAAAACCAGCTGGGAAGCCCACCAGCCCAGTGAGAGGAATGCCTGGAATATTTCTCACATTCTGCAATCCTACCAGGTCCATCCCTGCAATCAGCCCATTCATGAACAGTGGTCCCATTCCAGAAGGAGAGTCTGCTACAATGGCTGGAGCTTTCAGGAGTTCATTCCGAGGTCGCCTCCCCCTCCTGCGGGGGCCTGCATCTCGAAGCACAGGCTCAGCTAGGGTGTGATTGAATTTGCTTTCTGGGAGAAACCCCTGAAAAAGGACAAAGAAACAGTGGATGCTGAAAGTCACCAGATGGCAAGTGGTGGCTGCAGCTGTGTCCTGGCATAGCGTATCCCCCGTCCCACACAGGACTCTAGGATAAGGGCGGTCTCCTGTCCAAAGGCCCAGAGCACTTTGTCTCTTAGAGGCTGGAAGCACTTAGTGGCAGCTCGCTCCCTGTCCTCATCAGACAGTGCTTCCAATACTGACTGGCCAGAGCAGTCTCCACTGGATGAGAAGCTGGCAGGGGTGGGAAGGGGAGACTAGCACTGACAGGGCCTCAGGTCTTGATTTTTAAGGCTACAATCCTTTCACTGAACATTCTAGTCATCTTCTCACAACAAGAAGATGGTACCGAAGCAGGGCATGCTGGTGGGCTTTTTGAGTCAGATGTACTCAAGTTTAAAGGTGGACTGGGCAACAGCATAGCTGATGTGAGGCTCGGGATAGGTCAGCTTTGGTTAAAATAAGAGAGAGATAGTGACACTTAAAGTCACTGAAAGCGAAGTGATTTAACATGCTGCTCAGCCCATAGAAGGAGGACTTACTAGGGACACAGCATGTTAATGATGTGTGCATCTCAATATTTTCCGAGTCCCTGGAAGCTGTGAGTTGAAATGAAAAAAGGATGTGTGCACACAGACTGTAGAAATGGAGGCCCCTGAGCACTGCTGAGCAACGACACTCAAGTAAATAAGGCTCTAGTTTCCCTTAAGAAAGGCCCTATATTTTTCTTCTTTTGGAGTTCTTTCTCTGCCCCCAATTTTTTAATTAGTTATATAAAAATTTGTATTTGTGTGTGTGTTTTAAAGACAGTCTCTCTATATAACTAGAACTCACTTTGTAGACCAGGCTGGCCTGAAACTCACAGAGTTCTGCTTGCTTCTGCCTCGCCGGAGTTGGGATTAAAGGCACTCTTAATTTTTTAATTAGCAAAAAGCTCCACAGTCAGGACATCTGCTCCCAAGATTCATGATGTCATTTAGCATTAAAGCCATGGACCCTTCCCCACCATGCCTCATCAGGATCACAGCACAGACCACAGTGAGCACACAGCCTTGATGGGAGGGACAAGTAGGGACGACACATGGGAAGGGCGGCATGGGAAGGGTGGCGGAGGCTGCAGCAGAGACCAGAGACCATGGTCTGCTTGTGGAGACGAAGTTACAGAAGCTATTAAAATGATAACAGCTTCACTTTCTGTAAACAGGTGATACCCCACCTCCCTCCCTGGGCATAGATAATGACACATGCTTTTTTCTGTTGTCTTGCCCTGCTCCTGCTCTGATAGTTTATCAGGTAATACACATCCACAGGATTAAAATTACCCTTGTGTTGTTGAGCAGCCTCCAACTTTTCTCATACAGGAGTGATACAAAAAAAGCCCCTTGTGTTGATGGCTGCTCTTTCCCATGTACACAAAGGGGATGCCTTGCTGCCCTGTATCTCCCTCCTGTAGTCCTGTCTCAAAGCTAGCATTCTTTTTATAATGTTCCTTCAGCTCTAGCAAGCGTGAGACCAGGATGCTCAGAGTGCTAGCCATGGGTCTTGTGCCACTGCACACAACAGCAAGGCAGTGTGGTGCAGCCACTTGCCCCTGTGTGGATGAGCCTAGCATCTTTCTGAGCTGATCTGGTGCCTCCTTAGAGTGTGGAGTGAGTGCACAGCAAGGATCTGCAGGGAAGCAGGACTCTACAGCTGCCTGTCTGAGACCCAGAGGCAGTGTTCTGACTGCACTACTCAACAGAATAGACAAGGGTAAGAAAGGAGGTGCAAGTCTTACTAAAAGATACCGAAGAGCCAGAGGAACCCTATTGTTAGGGCCTGGAGCCTTAGAACATGGAGAGGAAGCCATGAAGCTAAGGGTATGTGAGCCTGGAGAGTGGACTTTTGAGCAGGTAAGGAATCTACTTATTACCTCCTGAGACTGGTATAGACATTTACTCACAGCTCTGGTGTCTCCCATTGCTTACCCTGACTCTGTTCTCCCAGAACTATTAAAAAATATAACACTCAGCAGAGCTCTCCTTGCAGGGTAGTCATGGATGTTGGTGACACTAGTTTCAGGTTTTCAATGAGCTATAAGAACAAGCATGGGAGGCTCCAGGAGAAGCTCATAGGATGCATATTTCCCCGCAGGCAGTAGTCAGCCCTTTAGAAGCTGTTCAGGAATGAGTGGTGTCAGGAAGAGCAGCAATAGAAACGGCGCGTCAGTAGCCAACCCAAGGGCTCCATCACCTCCTCTCAACTCAGCCAATGGGTATGAGTGTCACGTCACAGAAAACTTCACAGTTTAAGGATACATGACTCAAATGTTTGAGTCCCCAGAGAGCTATTTTTGAAAAGCTATGCTTGTCCTTCACATTTCCAAAGAATATTCTAGAAAAAAAACCAGAGTTATCATGGACAAAAAGCTTTATTACTCCAAGGCTAAGAGAACCTTTCAAAAGTCGTAGTTTAGTATTACTGATCTAGGAGGAACCTCTTCAACAGTTATACCAGGAGTTCTTTCCTTTCAAAACTGAGAGGCAAGAACCACTGTGGGCCAAGCAGGGAAGAGACTGAGCAGGAGAGCACTCAAGCTTTTATCATGACATCATGCCATCTGCCTCTACTGCCAACAGGACCACCACTGGCAATATGCCAGGATGGTTTCTCCTGGAGTGTGCTGGGCAAGGGCTCACTCTGGTTTTGAGGTATTCACTAGAAATAATCTCATGGCTGCTCATTTCTAGAGAGACAATAAAGCCTGAAGGATGGGATCTAGATAAAAAAATAATAATTTTCTACCACTGTCTGGAGCACAACTGCACCTCAAGGCTTCTCTGAGGCTCTTCTCTGCCGCCCACCCACAGCAGAGAGCCAGGGGAAGGTGCTAGGGAGTCTTCTTCCCTTGTATCACACATGGCCTAGCTCCTCCCATCACTGTCCACTGTGAAGGGCAGTCCACCCCAAGGTCTTTCTGCTAAGAGGAAAACAGGCCTAGACTTGGTATTTCCTCAGGCTCCAGGCTGTGTAAGAGCATCCTCTCCCTGCCCTTGCCAAGAGTTGCAGATGGAGTGAGCATACACACAGGGTCCTCTGAGAAATGGAAACTCAGTGGGGAATTGGACTGCTCTTCTTCTTTTCTCCTCAGGTCCAGAGAGCAGAATAGCCCAGGTGAAGAGAACGATTTGTATACAGTGTAGAAAGCAGTGACAGAGGAAGTCAGGCTTCAACACTTCCTGTGGAGGAAGGCTAGCTACTTCAGCCACCCAGATGCTGCCCACCACAGACAGGTGCCCCTCCCAGCAGCACTGTGACCACACACAGCAGCCAAATCGGGCTTTGGCAGCTCTCCATCCTGGTAATTATACCCTGGGGAGCAAACCCGCTTCCTCTTCCAGAGGAGGCCTAGAGAGAGCGCACATGGAGAGCAAGAAGAGTGTCGTGTTCAAGCAACAGCAGAGGCATGCCAGATGACTGCAATGACATTTTAACCCACTGACAGCCTTATCGATCTGTGATGGCATCTGTCCCAACCCTCAAACCCTTGGGTAGAAGCAACAGGACAGTGGCTAAGTTGTTCTTGATGCTGTTACAAAGGCTTATCCAACAAGAACTGGGTAAAAAGAGACCCAGTAACTAAATGTTTAGAAATCCCCAAAGCAAAACAAAACACAGCCAGGTTTATAGGCATTTTTGGAATCAATGGTAAAATCTGAGTGTGCCTCTGATGGCACATGCTATCAATGCTCACACATGCTGTCAATGCTCACACGTGCAGCCGTGGTGGCACATGCTGTCAATGCTCACACGTGCAGCCGTGGTGGCACATGCTATCAATGCTCACACATGCTGTCAATGCTCACACATGCTGTCAATGCCCACATGTGCAGCCGTGGTGGCACCTCGGTAGTTACGGCTATCTGCAGCACATAAATGAGGACCTCTCTCTACACTAATTACGTGTGTACAGATATGATGTAATTACGTGTGTACAGATATGATGTAATTACATGTGTACAGATATGATGTAATTACTTATAAGCAAAGCTAAGTCTCCAGGCCATGATGTTAGTTATATGGACCTTACCCAGATAAAACTCAGCATACATAGCTGGACTCTGAGCTCAAACCAAGTTCCTTGTGAGTTTTAATCTATTTTCAGAAGAGTAAGGGTTTCTGCCTTGGACTTTGTATATTAAAATCCCACCCCCAAAGCTGGGGGCAGTGACGGCTTTACGGCAATGAGATTATGGGGGCCAACCCCTTACGAATGGGTTTGAGCCCTCATAAGAGATCCCAGAGAGCTTATTTGTCATATCCTATGTGAGAACTCAGCAAGATGGTTATGAATACTAGACCCTCACTTGATACTCAATCTTCAATTTCTCAGCCTTGAGAACTATGGAAAGTAACTTTCTGTTGTTTATAAGCTTTTTGGTACACCCACTTGAATTGTCTAAGAGCTCCTTTGGGACAGAAGAGGCAGTACACCCTGGCAGAGCTGAGGAGAGCCACCGCCCACCTACATGTTGGGAAGACTGAGAGGCCCTGACAGCCAGGCAGACAAAAGCTTCCTATTCTTGTCTCAGTGTAGAAAAGGAACCTCACAGGCAGGGAATGGGATTTCATAAAGGAAGATGTGCCATAGAGATGAAAGACTAGAAATGGAAGACTTTGGCTTGGAAGACTAGAAATGGGTTTGCTGGCAAAGGGTCAGTGCTTGCAAAGGAGCAATGAGCATTAGTGTCCAAGGACTATGAAGGAAACTGTTGGGCATGTATAAAGAAACAAGAAGGTCAACTGTATGTCTGTAAACCAAAAAACTCAGGGATTACAACAGGACAGGAACTGGAAGTCTTTCCCTGACCTTTTTCAAGACACTATACACTGAGGCACATGGGGAAGACTGGGCAAGTGTAGGTAGGATAGAAACAGAAGCTGTGTCAGCTGGTAACACACAGTCTAAGAATGGTTTTTCCAAGAGCAAGCAAGGAAGAGGTAAGGTAGGGATGGTGACCTTTCAAACGTGACAGATTTGAGGGACTGACTAGGCCTGCCCTTTAGTAGTGATGGCAGCACACACAAATGAGTGAAGGCAGTTATCTGTGGAGCTGCTGGGTGAGTGACAAAAGTCAGTGACAATTCCATTTTGCCAAGAAGGTGGTGGGTAGTGTTTGCAGCTGAAATAAGAAATCACAGTGCTGATCCCACTAGGAAGCTGATGCAGGAATACTGTAGCTGTCTGAAGAGCTGACGAGTGTCCAGGAAAGCTTGCATTTATGGAAAAGCTAGGGAAGAGCAAATGCCTCTACAGGGATTTCTAGAAGCTCCTCTCTGGGATGCACTGAGAAATAAAATGTCCAATGATATGCAGTGAGCCCACTGGCAAATATTTAAGGGAAATGTCACTGCCGCCCCCTAGAGGTTAGGACTTTTCTATTCCAGACTTGCATCCATCTGTAAACTATAATTAACTCAGCTTCATTAGACTCCAAGAATTCTGCGGATGTCTTTGAAGCTGGTTCCAGTCTTATGATTCTATAATAGGAACAGGGCAATGCTTAGAGTCAGCTGTTTTTCATTGCTAATGCAGAAGCACTAGGAAGAAATGTCTTACTTAAATGGTCATTAAAAACTTAGGTAAGACATGAAAGTTTCCCTGATGGCATCTATTAAACTGGAAACAACAGACTGCTGTCCAGAGCTAAGGGTTTATCCTGTGTGACTGTACAAATAGGTTTAACACACTGTTTAGGAGGTGAAGATTGAAAACATAACCTCAGGAGACACGCAGCTGCTCGACAAGGGCTGTGGCACTTACTGTGGTTTATGCTTTCTGCGCTGGCCTCTCGTCCTCTGGGAAACCGCCATCCAGCTACCCACTGTTCAGCAGGGCTTTCTCCCAAGTGTGCAAGGTATGGCACAATCGAGATGATCCCCTTGCTCCCACACCCAAGGCCCTCTTCCTACCCTCAGTCCTGGCTCCTTGGGGACAGCAGGAACCCTCTCTTCTCCACCTAGAGAGCTGATGTCTAATTTTCCAGGTTCTTTGCAGCGTGGTCTTCTCTGCTTGGGTTTCTCTGAAAAACTCTAGGAGGTTAATGGAGAAAAATGTTACAAAGCCTTCTGCCACAGTCAGATATGGTAGAGCTTTTCAGTTGGTTTTGTTCTTTTCTCCCTAATGGTACTTTACACAGAATTCTACCACCAACCCTCACTTAACCTCTCTCCTTGAGGTATCAGACCTCCCAGCAGGCTGGAAAACAAGCTGTGTAGGATCCATGCCCTTGGTTGGGACCTTGAGCTGACCTACCAGCTTCCCAGGACACCCAACTAGCTGGTTCTGTGGGTCTTGTGTGAGCGTGCAGCTGTGATCTGTGTGCCTGTATGCTCTCTATCTATGTATCTCATGCATCAGATGGGGCAGGAGCAAGCATATGAACAAATAAGAAAGGAAGACCCAAGACTGAACACTAGTGCTCAGGAGCTGCCCTACAGATTCCCCATGGGGAGAACACAGAACAGAGGCATCAGATGACTTGACTGAGAATCCCAGCAGAGCAACTGTAAGCACAGAGTCCCTACAGAAGTACCAATAAAGAAGCTAGGGAAATGTTCATCAAGTGGTAGAACTTATACAACTTAAGGATTTCTTTGTGAACTTATGATGCTGTGTGGTCATTTCTGGGGGAGATACTGGGGAAGGGGGTGAACTTAAGTCTGTTCTCATAACTTTTACATGTCTAGTTGGTATGCTCTTGCAATTTTTTATTATTGGAGAACTTAGTCAGGATTTAAACATTAAAAAATCAAAACAAAAAATCTTTAATATGATGCTCTCAGTCAACATAGATTCTTTCCAAATAGCTTCTACCATCTAGTTTCTCTCAACTGTCCCAAGTTAGCAGTGAGCTAACAGTGGTCTGGAGTAGCAACAGCAACACTTACTGCCCCAAAGCCAGGAACATCCAAAGAGTAGTCAGCCTGCTGCCTCAGCCAGTCAAGTAGGCTCTTGCTGGGCACAGTTTTCTCAGCCTGGCTGCTGGATGCTGCTGTTGGCTCAGGAGCTGAGGAAGCAGCTCCTGGCCCTTCAGGGTGTGTGGTGCTCAGGGTAGTCTGCCCTGCATCTTCATGGACTTCCTGGATTAAGACAAAAATGAGTAATAATGATGGCAAGATTAAGTGAGTTCCTAAAACATGCATCTCTACAATGCTCACACCAGTCACAGGTCTACAGTAGAGCATGGGGTATTTGACTTTTCCAGCTGCTCCCACTCCATCTTCACCACTGGGTGCTTGGATTTCAACCCACCAGACTACCAACTCTTCTCTGCTCTTATACATGCTAGGTGCTCACCTCTAGACTACCGACTACCCTTGTGTACTCAGCAGGCCTGACCTCCATCCTAATTTTCATTCCTTTATCACCATCTCTCACTGTCCTAGGCACCTCCTCCTGTGTCCTAGGCACCTCCTCCTGTGTCCTAGGCACCTCCTCCTGTGTCCTAGGCACCTCCTCCTGTGTCCTAGGCACCTCCTCCTCTGTCCTAGGCACTGCCTTCTCAGATTCTCACATACCAGAAAATTTCATGCTGAGGTTTACTCACCTGTTCCTCCTCTGTGGCTTGACTGTGTCTCATTCTGCTTAGAATCACCAAAACAAACAATCCTACAGCAGTGCTAACAGTGCTTGCATCAACAAATTTAAAAATTATCCAGAGAAGAAGAAAAATGTATATTTTTCCTACTAGTCACTCCTTTGGAGTACTATGAGTGCCGGAGGGGATCACTGCTTGGTATTTCTACAAAGCCTTTCACGGTGGGGAGAGCACACTCACAGCATGTAGGTAGCTGGGGAGGTGCCCAGTGAGTACAGAGTTTAGCTTGTACACACAAAGACCAGAGTACAGTCCCAAGAAACTTTTTTTTTTTTTTAAATGAGGGAAAAAAGCCAGATGGGACAGGAAAGATGGCTCAGTGGTTAAGAGCACTGGGTATTTTTCTAGAACCTACATGGTGGCCTGTAACTATCTGTAACTTCAGTTCCAGGGAATCTGATACCTTCTTTTGGACTCTGTGGGCCAGGCATACACGTGGTACACGCACACACACACACACTCTCACTCTTAGGCAACACTCACATAGATAAAAGAAGAATAAGTAAATCTAAACTCCCTCACCAAAGATTAAAAACAAAACCAAACTCTAGGTGGCAGCACATGCTTGCAATGCCAGAGCTGAGAAGGTGGAAGCTGGTGGATCCCTGAGCATCCCTGAGCTCACTGCCTAGCCAGCCTGGCCTAACTGGTATAAGCTCCCAGGCCAGTGAGAGCTCCATCTCAAAAAATCAAAGGGTGGACGCTACCTGAAGAATGATATCACACATGCACATGCACACACATTTCTACTCCAGACCAATGAAATCAGAACTGGTAAATCTGAGGGTCACATTGATCCTAGTGACTAAGGGTAGAAGTTCAAGTGAGCCTACAAATTTGAGACTAGCCTGAACAATACTGAGATACCACCACCCCTCCCCACCTTAAAAAAAAAGTTAGGATGTAAGTTAAATGTCACACTATTAAAAGGAAAGCACAAGACTAAACAAACAGTAAAATTAGTCTATAGAACTTGACAGGGAAAAAGATATACCGCTTCTATCTCTCAAGTTATACACAAAACCTAAAAGGAAGACACAGCCAAATAACACAGTTCTCCAGTGATATTCTCAGTATCTAGATAACAAGGCCCTTGGTCTGATTTCCTGCTGTCACTTGGCAGCTGGACAACTGAGGGTTGTTTTCAAAAGCTTATTTTAAACTTCAAACTTCAAGTAGTCTTTTTAAAAAAAAAAAAAAACAAAACAGTTGTTGTGAGGCTCTAATCATGAAAAACTCTGAACATAGTACTTGGTCCACAGTAGGCACTCAGTAAATACTGTCATTATTTATTTAAAAGAAAAAAAACCTATGAAATATTTTTAGGACTCAAAATTTTAAAAAATACCAAAACTCAAAACACAACATCAGGCACTAAACAAAGTCTAAGAAGATTTTTCTCACCCTTCTCCATGGTTCATAAATCTCCATTGAGTTTAGTTTAGAATGCATTGTTTCTTTGTGATTTGCAGGGATCTTCACAGCAGCTGTCTCAGATGCTTTAGGACCAGAATGCAGTTTGTTGGTGTGCCCCACATCAGTGCCAGATCAAAGCCAAGATCAACCTTCCATCTCCCACATCTCAGCTCCTGGAGAGCCTCATCCTGCCTGAGTAATGCCGCCTGCCACCTGGCCTTGCTTATTCAACTGCCAGTGGCTCTTTTTTGAAGCACTGGAGGATTTGGGTTGCTTCTACTTGAAATAAGACCCTTTGGTTCATTTTTCTAGGCTGTATGCATTAAGGGTCACCAATGGGTTACTATCATCTATTCTAGAAAAGATGGAGGACATTTTATAATGACAGAAAACAAGAACAACTTAAATTCATGTAAAAGATCCATAAATGAAATACTTGATGTCTGAGAAATAAATTTCTCAATATAGAATGGTTTTTACCTTGTAGTCTCATAGACTCACCAAGATTCCAGCCTGAAGTGTTTGTTCCTTCAGAAAGATGAGGTCCATCCCTCCTTCAATATGTTTTCGCCTCCCTCTCCGCCTTCTCATGGCAGCATCATCCCGCCTGAGGCTTCCATTGACGATCTGTCCAGTCACTGGGTGGATCAGGCCAGCTTGCAGAATTCCAGACAAGTCCATACCAAGGGCTCCTTGAAGTGAACTGATAGCACCAATCTTAGGGGTGCTGGCACTCACTGGGAAAGGAGATGTGGCTCCTGGAGACCCCTCTGATGAGCAGGAGAGGTCTATAGCTGACTCCCCATGCCAGCCATTGAGGACAATGGGGGAACGCCCATGGGTGGCAGAATATTCTTCGAGGCTCCGAGCTTTGGCATCCCTTTCTACCTCAAACTCATAGGGACGTCTGTGCTTTTGTTCATCTTTTGTGAATACTGGGGCTAAGAAGCTCTCCTGTGAACACACATGGCAAGAAACTTGAATGTAACTTCTGTGGCCAAACACCAGCTCCTTCTCCAGGCCTCATTTCCTCAGGTCTTGTATTATTTCCTGCTATCTTCTCTGTGACTGCAAGGGTCCTCAAATACTAGTGCTAAACCACCAGATGGCTTATTAAATCTAGAGTCTACTTTGGTGAATCTACCCTGTTGAACAGGCTTCCAGACTATACCTGTAGTTGCAAGTGTAAGAAGTCTGGAGAGTCTCGGCCTCAGCTACATAACAGAATCATTTGGGAAGTTAAACAAAACAACTTAATATCTAAGATACACCAGAACAAGTAAATCAGAGCCAGCAGTTTTTCAAGGTCTCTGGCTGAGTCTAAAGTGCAGTCAAATCAGATTCAGTGTGCTAGTAACTCCTAAATCACTCATCTTCCTTCCATATAGACACTCCTTTCTGCCCCGATTTCATAACTGGTATCTGTCCTCTAAGGGCTTAAAGACACCTATTCTCTCCTCAAGTCACAGTCGCCAAGTTTATTGCTTTTTCTTCCTCTAACCTGCAGCCCAGAACGTATTCTCTGAAGCATCATTACCTGGCATGTCTCTCTTCTTTCTTTGCTTCCCCTGACAACCTGCAGGCTCTAGTTTAGGAATAAAACCCTGCTTTTTCTTCTTTGTACCAAAACTTTTTTTTACACAATTTTCTTCCACGAGACAGGGTTTCTTTCTGTGTAGCCCTCGCTGTTCTGGAACTAAATTCTTTAGACTAGGCTAGCTTCCAATTCAGAGATCCACCTGCCTCTACCTTCTGAGCACTGGGATTAAAGGTGTGTACCAACAAACTACCCAACCCCACTGGCTTATATCAAAACTTTTAATAGTTTTCCAGTCTACAGAATAAGGTCCAGAGTCCTAATTAACACTAACTACCTGACTAAAAAAGTAAACCAAAATCCCCAAATACTTGTTGAGTAAATGACTCAACGGAAACATGGGATATTGCTGCTGTCCCTTGGTAGCCCATACCGGCCGTAACCTCACCTTCTGGATCTGGGCTGCTAATGCTGCACCACTGCTGAAGCTGTGTTCTGCTGCTTCTGGCTCTGAGAGGCTGCTTCGAGAACCTGCACTGCTGGATAACACTGGCGTGGGCAGTGCACCTGAGGGGTCATACTGGTGGCTGCAGGGCCACTTCCCCTTTAACACCACATGGCAAATATTATCTAGGCGGTTAATTATCACACGATCCTGGGGAAAAGAATAGCAGCACTGAGAATAAGTTTCAAGTTACCCAAGTCCGCAAAGTCCCTGAGAGCAGGGGCTAAATTTTTCACAAGAAGCTGACCAGAAAGGAGTGTTCAGACATACTACACAACCTATAAACGTTATAGTCTGGGCAATAAAGAACAAATCTTCAGTGCTATGACTAGGGGCAACTTGCCATTTTCCTTTGATTGTTTAATTAGTCTGGTGAATATTATCCCCCCCTTTAGTGTCTCACCTTCAATACTGAAGGATATATAGCTAAGTTTGTCCAGTAGAAGTATTTTTATGAGGTTTAATGCAAAGGAGTCAAAGCTGGGAATAGCTTGAGTGGAGGATGCAAGCTCTGGGAGATACCTTTGGCCATTCTGAGAAGGAATAGAGGGTTTTCTCCTGCAGTAGCTGAGCAATGGTGGGAGCCCGCACTTCCTGCGCCTCTTCCCCAAGGTCCCCTGCAATGCCTGATGCCAAACTCTTACTCTCTTCCTCAGAGTATTTGCCTGGGTAGTCTGTAAAGATAGGTTAAAAAACAAACAAACAAACAAACAAACAACTAGATAGTTGGGAAATGCTAGTGACGTGAGGGTTCTAGACATGTGAACCTGTCTGTCTCTTCTGTCTTTAATTAGTTTACTCAGTTCTAATTTATTTTAAATTAATTATAAATTGCCATATCTCCTACTTCCAAGAGAACTAAATTAGTTAAACCAGAGGCAAATCCTGCTTAGGGCCACTCAGGCATGCTGACATGTAAGACTACCTAAACATTCCTTGCTAGCTTAGTGGACAAGACAATACTGAACACTATTTTGAAAGTTAAAAAGAGGAATGAAATGTGATAAACCAATAGGATGATATTAAGAAAGGATGCTATCATGAACCTCCCAACAAAGAGCCATAATTCATATAAAAAGTAAAGCAAATGAGCCTGGAGACCAAGGATAGTGTGTGTGTGTGTTTGTGTGTAATAAGATCTCATTATGCAGCCCTGGCTGGCCTGGAACGCATTGTATAAGACCAAGTTGGCTTTAAAATTAGAGATCTACCTGTCTCTGTCTCCCCAGTGGTGGGATTACAAGTGTGCCATCATGCTAGCCAAGGTCAAAGTTAATTTGTAAGTGTCGTCTGGAATATCAAAGATGTTCTAATAAGTAATGACAGAGAATAAATAGAGGGCAGTAAAATGTTCAAGTGGAAACTCAGGCTTCTTTTCCTCATAAACTGACAAGGAATGTGTGTTACTTCCCACTGTGAAATGAGTCTCCTAGGGAGCCACTGAAGCTCTTTCCCATGAGCAGTCTTGCTAGGACTGGTGGATTTAGGAATAAACAATACAGCTAGCTAGGGTCTAAGCTCTCAGTGTTTGCTTGACTTATAGGGGAGAGAGAAAACCACTAACTATAAAGGAACAGCTAGATTGTGGCAGTGCTGTACAGGGAACAAACACACATAGCAAGGTGGCTCACACAAATAATCCCAATATTCCAGAAGCTGAGGCAGGAAGATTGGGACTTTGAGGATAGCCACGTCTATAGAGTGAAAATCTGTGTCACCCCCCCCCCCCCAAACCCCAGGCTGAAAACATCCAAAGAGAAGAAAACATGATGTGCTGACAGGAAATGAAGGGAACCAGCTGTGCAGGTGAGGAAGCAACTGGGGAAGGGTAGGACACGCTAAAGAACAAAGACAGCCAGGAGTAGGGAGAAATGTGAAGCCAGGGACAGAGATCACCTGGGTTATCCAGAGTCCTGTAAATTAAGACATAAAACTGGATTTTGCTCTGGCGTCAATTGAAGCAGCAGTGAGAGGTCTGAAGCAGGGGGACAACCCTTAAGGAGCACTAGTAAGCTACTGTTCTCAGGACTTCAGGACTTCTAATCTCCAGAGTAGGCTAACTTGCCTGCACTACCTCTCCCACAGCTCTGTGGGCAGCGCTCCATAGTGTGTGCACCAGTGCCAGCACTTATCCTTACCACAGAAAAGAGACTTCTCCTCTAACTCACATTTACCATGTGCTTATTTGTCTGCATTTTTAGTACTTCATCTTTTTGGTGATTTATTTATTTACCACAACAGTGTCCAAAAGTGATGTGAGTCTTATAATTTGATACAAGGCATGATCTTTGGTTAGTTCAGGTTAAAAGGAATCTAGGAGCATGGTTACAGATAGGTCCTCCTGGCCTGGCCACAAGTCCACCAAGTCATGTTCAGTTCAGTTTCCAAGTCCTTTCTGTAGCTACTGTGTACATTTTAACTTGGGTTCAGTACCAATAGTTGTTAATCACAATAATAAAAACTAAAGGTGGAAGTTTTTAAAAAATGGCAACATGGGTTAGGGAGATAGGTCAGGGGACAGACAACTGTGCAGTTACTATGCAAGCAGGAGGGCCTATACTTGGATCCCCAGAAACCACAGAAAAGCTGGGCATGGTGGTCTAACATCAGTGCTGAGAAATCTGTAGAGACAGGCTGATCCCGGGGGCTCATGGGCTAGCCAGTCTAACTGAAATGTGAGCTCTAGATTCAGTGCAAGACCCTGTCTCAAAAAATAAAGAGTAATCAACATTTGGCCTTCAAATATGAATGCGTATTTGTGTGAGTGCACACACACATAAAGTGTACATATACAAAACAAAAATAAAAATTAAAAACAAAAAGCTACAGGACCCTAGATGGTGAGGCTTTTCTCTCCCCCGCTTAATAAAGGCTATTCCTGTCTCACTCTGGAGTACCATACTCAGGACCAGAAAATGGCAAGAACAAACCATCTACTTTGTTCACCATTACACACACTCCTGGAACCTAAGGAAATGAGGAAGAACCACTGCTGTTCACTGGCGTGCACTGCAGCACTGTGTGTACGCCCCCACAAAGAATAAACAATTTCAGTCACCTACATTTTTTTTTTGAGGGAGGGTCTCACTCAAGAGATTCACCTACCACTCACTGTCTCCTGAATGCTGAGATTAAAGGTATATGCCACCACACCAGGCTTGAAACTCCTTCTAACCTGAATCCCCATTAAAAATTTCACTATTTGAAAAGATCAAATCTATGTTTTCAGTTGTTTGTAACTGTTATTTTTATTTGTGTTCAGTTCTAAAAGAAACCTAACACAAATGCCCTGACATAAAGCACAGGGTTTTGACGATGACACGAACAACTGCTTTCTATGCTCACCTCAACAAGGCCAACTTGACTTGTATTTTTGGAGTTCCTGCAAATTAATGGCACCTGTATTAGTTGCAGGTCTCTTCTGTCCCAAAGCTGCTCTATTTCAGCCAGCTCAGTTCATCTAGTGTAGGAACAAAGGATTTCCCTATGCCGGTATGCATCCTATGCACATAAGCACACAGTCCTCTAGGTAATACGGCTGCTGCAGTGCAGCCACTGACTCCACAGTCACCCCAGTTCTCTGGGTGACTCAGCTGCACTACTTTGCTGAATGTTCATATCAAGACCTTGTACCTCTTGGGTTACCTACATGGTGAGGGTGGGCAGGCCCGTTTTAGGGGTTAAAACTATGGACTGCGGCTCCGACAGCATCCCTCTTCCCATTACACGAGTACACAGTTATGCATACTGTACCGTGACTGTGGCAGGTTCCATCTTTCTCATAATCATCTTTATTCTCAAAATCCATGTCTTCTGGTTTGGGTTCACATCCCTCAGGAACATACATGGAGAAACTCTTCCCCCCCTCAGAACTTTCTTTCCACGGTTCTTTTAAAAGCTCATGCTTCAGTTTAAATGGCTCTGTTGGAATAACAGCAGGCTCACCTTCCACTGTGGTATTATTGGCTTTGCTTCTGTACAGGTCTGGCTGATAAACCTTGGGTTTCTCTACTTCAGATTCCTTGCTCCCCAGGCCATGTGCCCACCTTTCAATGTGTTTGCAGTGGCATTGATTGGCTGAGGGCGAAAAGACCCTCAGTGGTCCAGGAGTCTTGCTTACCACCTCCAGCCTCCCTTTCTTGGCTTCATCTTGGTGGAAACTGAGGTTCTTTCCCCTTGGGATGTTTGCAGTGGGCTTGGTGAAATCTAAGACCTCTGGCTTTTCTGTGGCGCTTGCTACTATGGCTAAGGTTTCATCCTCATTTTCTTCCTCTTCCTCATCACTCTGATTCAAAATCAATTTACTTTCTAAACTCTTGTTTTCTAATAAATCAATTAATTGCTGATCTGATGAGAAGTTTCTTTTGGAGTCATAGACGCTAAGGCTGCAGAGATCTACAAACCCACTTTCATGTTCTGTATCTAAGGCAGGGGAAGCTAAGCATTTGGCCTCTAGGTGGCCTATGCTTTCAGGTCTCCGTCCTGTCTCACTGCAGCAGGGCTCCCCTTCTTTTGAGATAGATACCAACAGATGTTTTCCATTTTTAATATTCATTTTAGCTACTCCTGCTTCTAAGCTGCTCATGAGAGAGGAAGCTGAAGTAATTTCTGCCTCAATACCAGGAGGCTGGCAACTCTCATCTCTGCTGGTTGAGATGGTGATAGTATTTTTCCTGGACTGTGTGTTGGTACTTGGGGCTTCCTGAAAAGAACGCGGCTCTTGGCTGAGTCCTGTCTTACCATATATCATATTTTCCAAAGACTCAGGCAGCAAGCTTTCATCATGGTCAAGAGAAATGACCTCCTGAACTTTGGAAACAAAGTTTTCACAGGTTATGTCAGGTAAACCGCCCTCAGGCAGGCAGAGATGATCATCCCTGCTCTCCATTTTTACTAGGTTCTCTGGCTCACTTTCAAGAGACTCTGAAGTCCTACTCATTGGGGTGTAAGTAAGAGACTCGTATAGTTTAGAATTGCTCTGGTAAAGGCAACAGAGACTTCCAGGTGCCTGGGTGCCAGTTCTTTTGTGTTGGGCATAGTTTCTATAGGCATCTAGGAAGGACAGCTGAGGGTCATTCATGATGTAATAGTCAGTGCGGTTGAGCCCATGTTTGGCAGTGCCAATGAGCAGGTCTCGATCATGTTTCCCACACTCCCACCAGACTGGGAGGTAGAGGCTGGGCCTGCAAAGCTGGAGGCGCTCATGTAGTTGAGGGCATGTGAGCACCTGCTCACGGACTTTCCTCAGCAGTTCAATGCGGTACAGAGTCTTTGCTGCCCGCTCCTCAGTGATGGGTTCAACATAGATGCTGGCATCAGGGGAACCTGGAGAGAAAGAGACACAGAGCTTTTACACAAGGCCGCTGTAAAATAGAAACAAGCAACAGTTCCCACTTAAACCAATGCTATGTGCCCTGACTAAACTCCTGACATGTATTCCAGCTTCCAAAATATCCTGATACAATCACTTCTGTCTTAAGAGGCCCAGAAAAGCCACTTTGCCTAAGGTAGCAAAGCAGGAGTCAAATCAAGTCTCATCAATATGACTCCACGGTCCAAATTAGCTCCTTGACTTGAATGAATATACTTTAAAACCAAGCCACATTTGGGGGCAAGAGGCTCAGTGCTTGTTTCTGGTTTCCTAAAAATGTGGCAACATGGCCCAGAACAGTTTAACCAATCATATAAGGCTGAAGGGAGACCAAGAGGAAGCTGTGTTAAATTCCAACCAGGCAGAAACATCAGAAAGGTTGCCTATTGGATCAGGAGGTGTTTAAATGACAGCACTTATTTTATCTAAGCTAATACATATAAAATAGTTCTTTGTTCTTTAAAAAAGTTTTAGTTATTTTATGTGTATGAGCATTTTGAACGTATGTAAGTATATGTACCAATTTGGTGCACGTTTGGTGCCATCAGAGGTCTGAAGGGGGGTGTCAGATCTCCTGGAACTGGAGTTACAGATGGTTGTGAGCAACCATGCAGATGTTGGGAACTGAACTCAGGTCCCCTGCAAGAGCAACGAGTGCCCTTAATTGTTGAACCATGTCTCCAGCTCCTAGATCTTAAAAACCAAACCAAACCAACCAAACAACCCCCTATACTTTAGAAAGCATAGTTAATGTTAATCTTGTAATACTCCTATGAGGTTTTAACTAAATTTCAACTTTCACAGAAGTTGCACCTTTTGGGAATTTGGAGATCTGAATTACAAGCTCATAGACCTCCAACAACCTACCCATCTTTATTAGAATTTTTCAGATAGATCCCACTTTTATAGCTCAGCTATAGTACTTCTGCAATTTAAATTTACCATGTTCTCTTCTCACCTCCCTGTTGACATAGTTACAAGAGTTTTCTCACCATCATCTTTCCACGTGGGAAGGCGACACACATTCCGACACATGGCTACAAAACTATAAAAATAGTGCTCCAGGCTCTCATCTGACTTCTTGTCCAAGCGGGAAATGACACGGAACTGTGTCCAGTCAAAGGCTTTCTTTTCTTGGTCATACACAACACCAAAGGAAGACACTGTCCTATAGAAGTCGGCTTGCTCTCTTCTAGTCCACCTGAGAGGTAATCAGGAAAGGTAAGGAGTTTTGTACTTTTAGGAATAGGATCTTGTTGTGACCCTGGGACCCATGCTGGTCTTGAGTTCAAGATCTGCCTGCATCCTCTTTCTGAGTACTGGGATTACACGTCTGTATTACTAAGCTTGGCTTATCGTTTATTAAAAAAGCCAACAACTTATTAAAAGTATACACTGTAAGAACCTGTAAAATCCAGAGAGCAGGTGAGCTGGCTTGTGTATTTTACTGTCTATCTTTAAGTCAAACTGGGCAGAGAGGCTTACACCTACTCCCAAAGAGGGAACTACTTCAAATCTTCAGCTCCCCTTCTGGTATTGATCTCTCTTTTTCAAAGTCAGGTATGTAGACTACTATCTCTTGTTCACTGATAATTTAGGGGATAATTTAGGAATTATCTAGTTAAACTTTCACTTGTAGGAGAAAAAGGCTAAAAAATTAAAAATACCACCTACTGTACTTTGCTTTTCCCTCATGACGATGCTGAAGGCAGACTCTGGGGTCTTATTTCCTGTCTCACTCAACCTCTCTTACTGAGAAAGCAAGTGCTCTGTCTTCCCGTAGTTTCTCCCTAGTATGTGGGTGGTGGCCTATGTCAGTCACCTTCTCTGGGACACAAAGGTCCTCACCAGGATTAAGACAGTACTTAGAGAACAGGTCCGTTCCCATCAGCAGTCTTGATGAGGGTTCTTGGGAATGGTGTCCACCCCAGCTGGGAACAGAGGTTGTGATGAGGAATCAGTGAGAGAATGAGAAAAAGGAAGGGGATCTGTAACTGTGCCAGAAACACTTCAAATTTTGTATTGTTGGAGTACGGAGAAAAAAAATTGAATTTTCTATCTTTTAATTTGCTGGATTCTGTCTCAGAAGAAAAATAATCTAAAGATTGAGAACTGCAGCTCTGCTGTGTCCATTTCTAGCCTCAGTGACCTTTTTTAGCTTAATTTTCATATAATCAAGTAACTATGAGTGATAAACACTTTCTTTTTGGGCTTTGATTTTATATGTATTTACTGATCTCAAAATCTTGATAAACATGAGATTATAGTAGGACAGCTTCAACACACACTATTCCTTTTGTTGTTACAAGAATCAGGGAATTTGAAATGATGATACACACACACACACACACACACACACACACACACACACACATATATATATATACCACATGTATCAGTATGGTGTTTTAAAGCTACATTCCCAGAAACTGGGGCCTGACTTCGGGAATAATACAAGTTAGAAAGTCTTACATCTAGGCATTGTGTACAGAAGGTTTAGATCTATTTACCTCCCCACTCAACACTGGAAGCTGTGGTTAAGAAATTCTGAAGACAATCTGTCACCTGGGACTACCCATATACCTCCAGCTATTAGCCTTTCCCTTGTCCCCTTACCCAGTTACCAGCTAGTTTAACATGCTTTCTTGCCCTGGCTGTTACCTTTTTTGGGCTTCCTTGTTGATGAGGTCCATTTCTGAAGTCCTCCTGAACACCTCCTCCTGAACCCAGTATCCTTGGTTACCTGGGCCTAAGATTTCAGGTCTGCACAGCTCTTTGCGGTTGCAGCGCTGGTACATAGTGACCAGACGCCTGAGTCGAGCAGTGAGGGCAGAGGAAACTGGCCAGGGTGATTTGTCTGGGTCGGAGCCGTCCTGGGCTTCAAACATCAGTGAGGACATTAGTATTTACACATACAAATGCAACAGGAGGGTCTTTCCTTGTTTGTTTGTTAAAACCAGGCTTAGTGATTTAAAATAGCTGCTTTAACACCAGTCAATAGTGAGGCTAGTGGGAAAGGCAACAATTTTGCTTTAAAAACAGCTTTACATTGTGGTCAGTGCTGTTCTTGCTCAAATACACACCTCTTTCTGGAGGGCAGAGTCACTCTACAGAAAGGAAAGAGCAAAATTCTGTTGCCTTCTTCACAAACAGTCATGGCTTCGATGCAGCTGACCCTTTCAACTACCAAACCTCCAGTCAAGTTTGAACTGAGATACAAAACACCCCAGACCAGTGAGATTACAGTCCCTTCTTTACTGGTCATATTCTGTCCTGAAGACAGCGCTTGTTTAACTTTTGGATCTGATATTAAGTGGAGGAACTCAGAGACATGTGTCACTCTAGGGAAGCTTAATACAGGTCAACTTACTTTTAAGTCTCCTTAAAGATAGCATTGATTTATATAAACTCCACAGTAACTACAAACTGGGACCTTACTTTTCTTTGCCTGCAGGACACAGTCTCACCTGCCTGGCTGTCATCCTTCTTTTCACCAAAAATGCCATCACTTCCATCACTGGGACTCGCCTAGGGATAAATGAAGCCATTGCATCAGCGAAACTGCAGCCCAGAAGGAACCACTGAGAAAGGCCCTGCTGCAAGGACTACACATGCACAGAAAAGCCTGCAACGTCATTGGACCCAGACAAGCCTTATAACCACAGCTCACTTACACAGTTTCTCTCACATGCCCTCCCACAGAGCTTCTTCCCACAGAGAGTCAGGTTAAGGGATGGGAAACTCGATTGCATTTTATAAGCACCATGTCTGTTTTAGCTGTGAATTTAAATATCTGCTTTGCCACCACCACTTGCAATTTAATACTGTTATCTCACAAAGAACATTTCTGTTTTTCATTGTGAAAAAGGGTCAGGCTACCCTGTTCATTATGGAAGTGGACACTATTTTTATAAAACATGACTGCTCCATGGGACCCGATGGTATAAAAACCTACGAACTTAAAATTAAGATGTGAAGCTCCAAACAAATCTGGAGTAAGAACAGAAGTACAGAATTTGTTACGTCAGTGCATTAATGATTGTCCGAACAGATTGCTTTATTAGCTCTGTCCTGTCTCAAAGGGAAACTTTACAGATGATGATGTGGGACTGGGAAAGGAGATGCCCAAGTTAAGAGTGTTCTACTTGTAAGAGGATCTGAAGCAGGAAGACTGTGGCAGTGAGTGAAGTGGTCCCTTGTCTAGGATATTCACTACTGGTGTTTATTGAAAGCACTTGCTGCCTCCTGGACAGGAGACAGGTGCTCTGACACAGTGAAGGTAGATAGACACACACAACTTCCAATAATTAAAACTCAAAACATTCTTTTAGGCCCTAAAAGCATGTATGGACCCAGGAGAGAAAATACTAGACAGAGTGCAGAGAAAGATGTCCATTTTCTGAATATATATTTCTCCTGTGTAGAAAGGGGGTGACACAACCCTTCTTACGGCTCCTCTGGTTATCCCAACTATCTTTGGAGATAGAACTATCACCATTCATGTCTTGCAGATCCAGAAAACTGCCCCAGGAGGCTGAGTGAGTCACTCAGGGTCTCAGACTAAAACTTAGTGCTTCAAATACAGGTAGTCTGATATGAGGACCAAGTTATCTAAGAAAGGGCACCAAGAGAGTTCCAGATAAAATTGGCTTTGGAGGTGAAAACACTTAGGACTGGGGAGCACTAGCTATGCTGCCTTCTACTGTCCAGAACTGTTTCCTGCTATTTAATAGAACAGAAACCTGAGGAGGATCTATGATGCCATTTTGAAATGGCATCAAAAAGTGCCAACCCATCCTACTCTTTAGGCAGGTGAGCAAAACAAAAACCCCTACGACATCTTGTATGTCTGTCTTCCAACCAAAAAGAGCCTTTAGATGTGGCCAGAACATTTGTGAGGTACTTAGAATGATGCCATTTTTAAGTATAGATACCGGCAGGGGAAAAATATTCTACATTATAAAGCATGGGTAGTAGAGGGCACCAGCCTATAAAGCAGAGTGACAAGTTCCCTCTCAAGCCATAATGGCAGCTGACAAGGGCCTGCCCACAGCTACAGGCTCCTGGTGTGGGGTGAGGTCAGCACAGTTTGTCCTCCAGTCTATTCAGCAGTTTGTGCTGCTGCAGTTAGTCAATGCGAGTAATCCTTGAGCAAACACTCCCACAGGAAAGTTCTTGGTAGTAGTAAGTGCTGTTTCTGTATCCCATCTCCTGTAAAGCGTTTCTCCTCAACAGAATGACAGAACATGGCCAAGTAACCAGATGAATATGAGTTTGATGCATAGGAAGCCAATAGTTGTGGGCACACAGAAGGCCTCACAGCTGAGCTCACAGCCTAACATGGAACACCAGTTTCTGCTTCCTGGGGAAGACGTTCATCTTAGAAATGTGAGTTGATTTCAGGCAAGGGACCCAGAGTGCTGCTGACAAGGAACAGACAGAACACAATCTCTCCATCCTGAGAACAAAGCCTCTATTCTTTGGCTTTGGGCAAGATGCTTCTTTCTCTCTAAGGGGCTTTGCTTCTTCTTAAAAATGGAGAAAGTAATATTCAGCTTATTGGTTGTGGAGTGTAACGAGTAACCTCCATGCTGGCACAAAGCAAATGCATTAACAGCTGGTAGCCGGGAGAGGGGCTATGAACAGTCACTTAGCATTTCTCCTTTACCTGGAGCATATGCTTTTATGTAGACTCCAGAGAATCATTAACAGCAGTAACAGCATCCCTGAGGGCTACTGAGTCTAGGGAAACTGCTGCACAGGCTGGAGTCAGTACTGCATAAAGATTTAAAAATTATTGTTAACAACTGAGTTTAGACAGCTGGAGAAAGTGTGGAGTGGGGACGTTGTTAAAATAGTCCTCAATGGCGAAGATGAGATTCAGATTCAGAAGTGACGACTAAGGAGCTTGTAAATGCTATGCAGCTATGCTAGTGAATGAGCACAGGCTGTGCTCCCTCCCAAGTACTGCCAGCAGCTGAAAGTGGCACAGCTATATACATGACACTTCCCCAGTGACAAGTGAGGTACATACACTTCCTTACTCAAAACTAGAAAGCCTAATCTCCTCTGCTCATGGCTGCCCCTCCAGGCCTTGCTGCCTCCCAGATTTTGTCTTGGTTAGGGTGGCAGCAGCAGTGCAGACTTGGTGGGATATGTAGACTCAGGGGATTTCTCCTATGCCCTTACCAAACCCCAGCGTCAACACAGTAGTCAGCCAAATAATGAGTATTCTGTAAGTGCCAGGCTCCAGGACTATAATAGTGGAAAAATCAGAAATGTTAGTCTCAGGGATTCTGTCTGGTGGGTGAGAGGAAAAGACAAGCAGTGGCTATGCACGCAGTACCATAAGCAACATAGAGAGAGCATCAATCAGGGGCTGCTGGGACAGGTCTAAGAGGTGATTCTTGAGCTGGACACTGAAAAAAGTGAAGGAGTCTGCGGAACACAAGGGTCTCTACACAGGGAACAAAAGGTCTGAAGTTAGAGTCAAAAAGACCCTGCTGATGTTTTCATTTTGCAAGAAAATTAAGCATCCTATTTTTGCATAAACTTGGTGTTCAAGGTAGATATAAAAACAAATGTCACAAAGCTCAGGTGTGTTTTTATGGAGCCTGCAGGATCTAGGAGAACGTGAACAGATGAGGGACACTGCTCGTGTCCTTTAGCTTGGTTGGGACTTATGCAGCTAACTGAGACTATGTGCCCTAGTTCTGTACAAAGGGGAAAGAATGATGCCTGTTTCCAAGGATGAATAAAATTCACATACAAATAATACTGAATTTAGAGTATCTTCAACCCCTTAACCCACAAGTAATGAGTTCTTGTTCAGTTCCTAACTAAAGGTTCCTTATAGTAGGATTTGACCATTAAAGCATAAAATTTCTTTACAAGTTTGTTTTTTTATTTCACCTCCTTCTTCCTGATCTCCCATTGGCTACAGTTTCATCCTATTACAGCCTTCCTATTTTAGAAAGCACCCAAGACACAGCCTAGACATTGGCAGCCAGAACTGCAGCACAGCAAAGACAGCACCTGCCACAAGGTACTGTGCTAACAAAAGCTGTTTCAGTACTTATTGTTATTTTTGTTAACAGAGGTGTTACCTTCCCAACATACACAAAGGTGTGATAAAGACTGTTGGACAATTCTAGGTTTGAGACCATTCCAAACACAAATACTCTTAAAACTGTGTGTGGTTCATAAAAAAACCCAACTTCTGAACCTTGAACCTTGTAACTGGCAACTGTTTACTGATCAAAAGTATCACAGATGTTAGAAGAGAGAGAGGACAGGAGGACCTTATCACTCTCATAGTTAGTTCCTCTCAACCTTGAAACTCTGAATGTCATATTTGGAGAGAAAGACTAGTGTGTGCTACAGAAGGTACCAGAGTAGCAAGGAGCTGGAGATGATTTATGATAAGAAATATAAATGAATTAGGGTTTAGACACAACAGATCTGCTGGTCTCATGAAGTCAAAGCTGCTGTGGTTGCCTGAATATGATCAAGCCAGTCAACACTGTAACACAGAAAGAGGGGTGGGGGTGGAGAGTAGCATGGTGTGTGTGTGCGTGCACGCGCACGTGTGTAGACAGTTTCTGGTAGGCTAATCATGCTCTAATGAGTGACCCTACCTGGGAGTACATGCTCAGCTCTTTGAGCAGTAGTAATAACACCACTTTCCCACACAAGACATAAACTTTTCAAGGACTTAATTTTCCTGTGTTACAAAGGCTTGAGAGACAGTGAATTGAAGCGAATCAGGGAACAACAAACTGAGAGAACGTATGTAAATAATAACGAACAGAACAGAGCTGACTATAATCGTGTGATCAGGGGAGTGAAGACTCTGGCTCTAAGTAGAAGCACCAGAGGACAGTGCTGTGTGAACTTCTGATATCAGAATCCATGGCATTCGCCAGAAACATCTGGTCTATGACTCAAAGACAGAGTCTGCTCAAGTGGCACAGGGGCTCAGGCAAGGCCTTCTGCTCCTGGGGTATGCATACATATGTGATAAGCATTTAAGACAATCAGAAAACAGGAGAGAGGAGGAAGAAAAACTCATTTCACAAGCTTATATGACCTGACTAGAAAACTATCCTCCACAATGGGCATGTAGAACATGTTTCACAGGTGCACATATGAAAAGTTTTACATAAAGCATCATTAAGAACCTGGGGAGATGGGTCAGTGTGCACAAGTGTGAAGACTCCAGTTTGTATATGGCTCTGTCTATTATCCCAGCCTCAGAAGAGGGGATACCCTAGAACAAACTGCTTAGAGAGACTAGCCATATCAGTGAGGTCTGACCTTGAGTGAAGAGACCCTGTCTCACCGAATACGATAAAAGAGAAGATGAGAATGATTCTGGACATTAACCCGTGCTCTATATCCACACATGCCCTTCTACACAGGAAAAATGCATGTGTGGTGCACTGCATGTGTGTGTGCTGCATATATGTAAGTGTAACATACACTTGCAAATAAAATGGAAAAAGAGAAAAAATACTATCAAATAAAATTCAGTAATATATAAAAGAATTATATATATATATATATATTTATTTCATGATTAAGCAGAACTTATATTAGTGCTATATGTTCAGTTCAATATTTGTCAACTAATTATGGTAGCTCACCTTATTGAAAGGTCAAATAAGAAATAACAAACAAACAAACAAACACTCTGAAAACCACTTTTATCTAACAGGAAAAATAGCATATGACAAAATTGAACATCTATGATAAGTACTCAGAAACTAGAACTGTGGAAATGCCCTTTGTTTTTGATAAAGAGATCTACAAAAAAATCTATAATTAGTATTATTTTTATAATGAGAATTAAAAAATATTTACTTATTTTATGTTTCTGAATGTTTTGCCTGCATGTATCTATTATGAACCACACGAGTGCCTGGTCTCCTGGAACTGGAGTTATGGATAGTTATGAGCCATCATGTGGATGCTGGGACTTGAACCCCGCCCCATCTTCTATGAGATCAAGTGCTCTTAAATGAGGAGCCATCTCTTGAACCCCTAATTAATATCATTCTAATGTAAGTGTCTTACTCCTAATAGCTACAACAAGGATATTTATTCCACCTATATTACTCAATAAAGTGTTAAAGTTTCAGCCATTACCATAATCCAAGGAAAGAAAACAAGTTTTAAAATTTAGATCAGAGAGGAAGAATTTTAACTTTGTATTTACAGATGATGACAAAAAAAAAAAAATCCATGACAAATGGCCTAGAATGGGTAAGCAAGCCCAAAACAGCTGAAGGGTTGAGGCATATAACAAGTACTGGATTTCTGCATGTGGTAAGGAATATCGGAAGTGAGATCACAACAGCACTTACAATCACTCCCAACAAGAAACATTGAAATGAATCTAAGAAATGTGCAGAGCTTATATGCTGATGAAAGAAACCTAAAACTTAAAAGAAAGTGAAATAAAAAAAATGACAGGTGGCAGCATACTATAATTCTCCTTTTTGATAAAAAGTTTTAATGTAACTCCTACTAAAATTTCAGCAAGTCTCTGGAAATACGGAAACTTTTTAAAATTAATTAAATACTTATTTATTTACTGAGTGTACATGTGGAAGTCAGAGGACAACTTGCAGGAGTCAGTTCTCTCTATTATCTGGTTTCAGGGAATGAACTTAGGTGCAGTAGCTAGTACCCTTATTTGCTGAGCCATGCTACCTCTCTAGATAATCTTACATAAATTTTACATGACAAGTTTACACAGTTACACAGAAAAGCACAAAATAAATAAAGGTCAAATAATTTTGAAAAAAAAAATAGAGTGGGAAGGGATCAGTTGGTTCAATTTTAAGACTTAAGACATGGCTACAACAATTCAGACTATGTACTGCTGACAGGAGAGAACAGAGAGCCCAGTCCATGGAGCCTCACAAATGGGCCAACTGAGCTTTTTCAAAGGTGCAAAAGTAATTTGATAAGGTTAAGAGTAATTATGGATCAACAGGATGCAAACAGGTTAAATAACCTTGATCTAATTTTCATTATTTAAATTAGAACTAACCTAAAATGGATCATAAAACTATAAAATGTGGGGAAAGGGAGGGTGGAAGAGACTCTAGGTTGTCAGGTAACGAGAGCTCTTAGACCTGGTACTATAAACACAACCCATAAAATCAAAAGTGAGAAACTCATTTCTTTAAATTAAAAACTCTTGCCACATTAAAGACAACATGGAATGGATAAAAAGACAAAACTACAAGATGAGAGAAAATATCTGCAAACCACATATCTGATAAAAAGACAAATATCTAGCCTGGCAATGGTTGTGCACACCTTTAATCCCAGCACTCAGGAGACAGAGGCAGAGGATCTCTGACTTCAACACCAGCCTGTCTACAGGCTGTTTCAGGGCTGCACAGAGAAATCCTGTTTCGAAAACAAAATCAAAAAACAAACAACAACAAAAACCAAGGACTAGCACCTGGAATCTGTCACAACCTCTAGATCAGCACAATGAAAGCAGAGCAAGAGTGAAGGATGTGCAAGAACTTGTACTGTGTGGAGCATAGAATAGCACGGCCGGCCATCACAGGCCACACACAAGCAGAGGTGGACCCCTAGAAAAAAGTGACAACATAAATGCAGGATGCATAGGAAGTACACCATTTATTTACTACCATCGTGTAGCAAAAATGGACAGCACAGCTACTTCAAAACAAAGTGGTAGTTTCTTAAACATACATTATATAAACAACGCCATATCCATGCTATAGAGTAATCATCAGCAACCACCCCTGCGCCTAACGTAAAGCAAAAATAAAAAAGGAACCAACTATGGTTGGAACAGACAACCACCTGGATAGACTTTAAAATTATGCTAAATGAAAAGAACTGTCAAATGTTCATACTGCATAATTCCATTCTTTCTACATGTACACCTACATGCCAAAAGAGGGCATCAGATCCCAGCATAGATGGTCATGAGCCATCATGTGGTTGCTGGGAATCGAACTCAGGACTCAGGTTCAGAACAGACGGCCATCTCTCTGGCCTTAACTGAGTGCCCATGGTGCACTTTTTTTTTGTTGTTTGTTTTGTATTGTAGACCAGGCTGGCCTCGAACTCACAGAGATCCGCCTGACTCTGCCCCCCCACCCCCCCAGGGCTGGGGTTAAAGGTGTTCACCACCATGCCTGGCTTATGCATAATTCTATTCTTAAAATGACAAAGTTATGAAAATGGAGAAAAGATCAATGATGTGATGGACGGGGAAAACAAATGGTTATGAGATAGAGACAAGACTTGTGTAGTCACTGAAATGTTCTGACCTTGACTCTGTCAGTGTCACCATCCTGAATATTAAATGATTTTACCTGATCTTACTCTGGAGGATACTTGGTACAGGGTACACAGGGTTTCTCTGTGTACTCTGTACAGACATCTGTATAACTGTAGATGCGCACCTGTACACCAACATCTTAAACTGCAGCTATCTGGATAGTTTTTTTAGAATACAAATGCAGTCAAGTTTGTATGCTTGGAATTTCTGTACTACAGGGTGATACAAGTAAGTGCAGCAATGCAATCCGACTCCCAAATGATGCAGCCCTCTCTCAGCATGAAGGAGCATGCAGTACCAGTGCAGCAAATCTGACTCACCGTTTGCTTCTGGAGACCATCTAACTTGTCCTCAGCACTGTCTTCTTTATCTATGTTGCCTCTAAATAAAAGTAATCATATACCACTTAGGAGTTATGTTACTACCAGGGTGCTTATAAGGCCTTCCAAATCTAAAGGGAAGGTTAGTAGATATCTCTCACAGGCACTCAAAATCTTATGATTTTTTTCCTTTTCTTTTCAGAGAATCTTAGAGACTAAGAATGAAAGAAACTACCACCCAAGACTGTTATGTGGTGGGTAAGGACTGAAACCTCACATGCATGAGGCTGCAGCCTTGTGATCTACTAAGGCACACTCCGAGGCTGACTGCTCAACAACACTATCATTGAAAAAGTAACTATGGCCCATCAAGAGCTATCTGCACTCACAACTTGAGTCCAGGCCGACAACTGTGCACAGTGACTATTCCCACAAGGTCCTCTCCTGGAAGACAACGCTCTCTACTGCTGAGAAGGAAGGTGAACCATCCCCTCAGATATCACATTTGGGACTTGGTTAGCTGCTTTGTGACTCTTGGGAGATTAACTACTGCTGATGCCTGCCTTATATGGGTCTTCAACGCTTAAGCTGGAAAGAAGCGGAAAGAATGGTCAGCTGCTCTGCTCCTACCTTAGGTGCATCACTGGAGTCACCACACATAAAAGCTTTGAGCTACACGCAGGCACCTAAGCCAGGGAGTGTTTTTCCTGAATCAGTTAATTTAACTAACACTAGGATGACCAGCCACACTAGGCCTTTGTCAACATCTCCCAAAATATACTTTTATTTTGGAGTAGAGAACATCATGACAGCTAAAGTGTTTACCAGGGGTTATTGGTAATGCCATACTCCCATGGCTAGCTCTAACTACAGCTCTGGGCAAATAAGCACCTGTCCTTAGCAAAGGAGAGATCTAGCCAAAGCTGTCAGTACACATCTAAGAGATAAATTCTACTAAAAACTTTTACATCTTGGAGATCTATAGGTTTTGGCTCTTACTTTAGTTTTCCTGAGAACTCACACATTTGGAGAGTATGCCAACAATAGATAAAAGTCAGCCAAAGAGAATGCTTCTATATGTTTTGCATACTACCTTTCACTATGCTGAATTGTTACAACTTTTAACAGAGGCTCCTGAGTCTGCCTTACTCCTGGGTTATATGATCCTGGAGTAAAACCGGAAATCAGCTGAGGAACTTTATGATCAGGAAGGCTGAACTTGCTGTGCCTGTGTAGTTTTTTTGCCAGGGGGAAGAGATATAGAGAGCCCTCTGACCAGAATGAGCTGATTGTGGTTAACAAGCTAGGCAGGATAATCAGCCTGGGCAATCCATGAAGGATAGGAATTGGGATTTTGTCCAAAGAACAAGTCTATGGCATAGCAGGATGAACCCAAAGAAGCAATTTGAAGGACATGGGCACAGTACAGTCTTAAGAGAGATGTCAGACATTGAGGGAAACTGGTGGTTTGAGTGAGAAATGTCCCCAGAGGCTCACATCTCTGGATACTTGGTCCCCAGTTTGGGAGCTTATGGAACCTTTAAGAGGCAGAGCCTTGCTTTCCCCCTCTATTATAGGCTACCCTTTGGAATAGTAAGACAAAATAAACTCTTTCTTCTATAATGCTCTTGGTCATGGTATTTCATCACAGCAACAGAAAAGTATGAATACATAAAGATACAGAGTCCTGGATATATGTGAACTAGGACACAAGCTGGTGGCAAGGCATGTGACATCAGAGTGGGCCTATGTGGCTTCTCACCTTTCAGGAATGTCGGAGGTTCCATCTGTAACACCTTGCTCTGCAGAAAGGGACTTTTCATCAGGCATGCCGACTTTCTCCAGGAAGCAGAGCGCTGGGTCAGCCCGCATGGCATTGTACCTTTCATAACCTGAGCAGGCAATGACAAGTATCAGAAGTCAGGTCAGAACTCAGCAGATCTGCCCCTGGTCTGAGACATTCACTTTGTCTCCCTTATTCAGTAAAAACCAACACAAAACGAACTTGAAATAAGGCTTATTTAGGATTAATGTGATCCTGTGAGGTATCCTAATAGGAAGATTCTGGAGCTACTAGAGACTTTGGAGCAGTTTCTTACCCAATCCATGTAAACATCATGTTTGTAAACAGATGCAAGGGCCAGACAGTTCTTACTGGTTTGCTGTTCTGTACGGCAAAGGGAAGCATGAGCTACCTTTACAACCCTCTTCCTCCTATTCCACAACTCTGACACCCTGTTATATCTCAAATGGGTGCATTTCCATACACCCCAACTCTATCTCATGAGTCAGAAAAAGAAGCTGAACAAAGTGATAGATACAAGTGCTGAACTGTGAACTGGACCATGGTTGATGGTTTGCTAGGTTACTAGACTTGGGCCGGTGTTATAAACCCAGGACCACAAAATCCCAATACACACTTGCCAGGGCTGTGGATCTGCTCCTCATCACGTTTAAAGTGAACAAAAGGAATACTCTGATCCAGAATATGAAATTTAAAGACAATGAAACAATGCTTCATGTGTTTGCACATAGAAGCCAGAAATTGGTATTAATGTCTTCCTCTGTTGCTCTCCTTAATTTTTGTGACAGGGTCTCAGTGAAACCAGAGCTCACTGACTGCCTAGAGTAGTAGCTCACCAATGAGCTCAGGTCATCTCTCTCTCTGTACTTTCCTCAGTTCCCTGTGTCAAAGCTTCAGGTGCATGCCACCATGCCTAGCTTTTATGTGGGTGCTGGGGATACAAATTTAGGTCCTTGGGCTTGCACATCAGGCACTTTCCAGAACAGCCACCTTCATAGTCCCCCAAAATTGTACTTTAAAGCAGGAGGATATCTGGTATTTTACTGAATCTAACAAAATGTTCCTTTTATGTGGGTGTGAGAAGGTGCAGGGTCTCCTGAAGGCAGTATAGAATGTAATGTAATCTTGTAAGACAAGGCTTGTCCAAGTTAAAGACCAAATCTATTGTCATACCAACCTTCCAGCCTTACCTTGCACTCCTGACGTCACAACCTACCTACCACAATGGGCTGTACTCCCCAGAAACTGTAACCCTTTGCCAAGGCTGTGTGTGCCAGGGTATTCTACTGGGGCAACAGAAAAGGAATGACTGCGGCTGGACAGAGTGCCTGCTGTGAGAGCAGGAAGACACGAACTCAGGTCTCTGACATCACACAACACAACAAAGCATGGCTGTATGTGCCTATAATCTTAGTGTTGGGGTCTGGGGTCATCTAGCCTAGATGTAAAATGATGAGCTCCTGCTCTAGTGACAGAAACTGTCTCAAGAGAACAGATGTAGAGTGACAGAGAAAGTATCCAACATCTGCCTCTGGCTGTCACATGCACACAAGTGTGCATACCTGACAACTCATCCCAGTGAGCGAGATGGATGCAGTTCCACCTTAAGTACAAAAAGGCAATAGAGGAGGATAAAATATCAAGCTCATTCTTTGTGATCATAGCTGCTCTTTTGAAGTTTATTAGTAATATATTATAGAACTCTTATGAGTCACACATTCATCTGGTCAAGACTTCCAAATGACAGCTGTATGATCTGGTTTTTCAGAATTATCACAATCAGACAATGGGACTGTTGAGCATTTGCAGGAGTATGTATAGCCTAGTCTACATTGCTTGAGGGGCGATGGGATGGAGGGTTTGTGGAGGGGTAACCAGGAAGCGGGTTAACATTTGAAATGTAAATGAATAAAAATGATTAATAAAAAAAGAAAACAAGATTGGATCTATATCTTATATCATGTATTATGCTAAATTCTACATTTCTTACAAGATACATACATAAATAATTAATTCCTACAGATATTAAAAAAAAAGAATAAGCTTTCTGGGTAGCTGATCTGAAAGGGTCAATTTCTTAAAACATACCGTGCTTGAACACACCAATGAGAAGGGACTTGTCAGCTTCAGCGTCCCACCAATCCACTGGGATCTCCACATAGTCAATGTCAGGTAGAAGCACATCCAGTTCTCTGTGGAAAGTAGAGTGTGCTCTCAAGTGTTCTTTCCATCCAGACAGAACACAAAAGCTACTGAACCCTGGTATGAAACCACATTCCCGGCTAAATGCTTAAGTAACAATAGAGACAGTCCAGAAGGTTGCAGCTCAGTATCTCTTATTGCTCACAAAGCTGTATAAACACAGGTACTTGATTCCGGGACTCCACTTGAGACTCTAGGAGAATCTACTCTCAGGTGACTGTGTAAAGTAGTTTTGTGTATTTAAGTAGTTTTGATATGTATCTTTAGTTAACAGCCAGAGCAAAAATCTTTGATATACTGGTCATGGAAGGGCAAAAGTTTCCCCCAATGACTGAAACATGAGTGAATCCTTAAAATAATATTATCTAAATTATCTTGCCCCAGAGTTTACACTGGTGAAGTCGCAGGTATAAAGAAGGCCTTTCAGAAACTAAGTGGTTCGTTAGGTCAAAACTACTCATGGATAGCACTCTTCCTTGGCCCAAAGTATCAACATACTGTCCATGTTTTGAGTAGCACATGGATGGTACCTCCAACTGCCCACAGGATTCTTGTGACTGATAGAAGCCTGACTGTTCCTTGTTAGGCCCAACTCCCTGTATGAAGTTAGTATTCCCTGGCCCCAGCTTTTCAGAAACCTACTGATTTACTGCACAGTGTCACAGGAGAAACGACCTTTTTAGGATGAATACCATTTATACATTAAGCCTAAACAGGACCCGTGACTGATCGAAAAGAAAATAGAGATCTTTCTTCTCTATTTACCTGTTTACTATCTGGGTAGCTTCCTTGGACAGGGTGAAAATCTGGGTCTTTTGAAACAATAGGATGGATCTGGCCAATCTATCAGCAGGCAATTTACATAAATTATTTAACTCTGAGAACTACATGGTTAATGTTTTACCTGGCAGGAGTTCCCTCAAATGCTTTATCAGCTGCTTCTCCCAATATTTCAGCTTTTAGGTAGTACAGCATTCGGACTCTCAAAAGCACCCTATGAAAGAAGAACATATTATTACAACACCCTGGAACCTAAGACTGAGAACACATCACCAAATTAAGATAGGGAAATTAATAAGCAGAAGCAGAGGGAGAATGTCCTGACTGGTTTTGGAAGTTGGGTTATAAGAAGCCTCTGGGTACAGAATGTACTGTAGGAGTGGAGACTGCTACAGGAGGCAGGGGGTGTAAAGAGAACGCAGATACAGTTCACACCCAAATCCTTTCTTTTTTCCAGACTTTGTATTGGAGTGTGAAAGGATATCATTGTGGGTATCTTTGAAACCTAGACTGTTTGAGCGGGGGTAACTTTGGGAAATAGGAGGGCCACTCACTTATTACAGTGCTGTTTGAGGTGCTTCTTGTATCCATCATCATGTAAGACCACCTCAGGATTGCAGGTGGCCAGCCAGTCTGCATTCTTCAGTTCTGGGAGCAAGAGCTGGTTTTTTGTCTTTTTTCCTTTCCTCCCTCTGGGGACTGGGGCAGACAAGCCTGAAATGGAGAGATAGTGAGGCATATGGATGAGCCAAAAGGGCTTCAACATGGGCATTAAATCTGGGCTGGGTACAGAAACACCATGGTGGGCTCTGGTGGACAGACTCTGACTCAAGTCCACAAAATCACCAAGGTGGTCAAGAGGATTTAATGAATGCCCTGGGAGACTCAAGGGAGGAATAACCCAGCCCGTCCCTTTTGGGTCTTATGGTCCAGTAGGAAGAAGGAGACTTGAAGAAGCTTTGGCTAAGCACAGAGAATTACAACACAAGAAAAGGCATGCCAGAAGTGACAAGAGTAGAATAGTGAAATAAAAAAGGTGAGCCACAGAGCTTGAGGAGTGAGTCAGGGATTCCTGATGGACTAAGGAAACAGCAAGAGCACATGTGGGAAATGTCAAGACAACACAGGCACCCAAGACCCAACAGAAGACCTCAGCAGAGCTTCTTCCCCTCTTACCTGAGTGGTTCTGGAGGGTCTGAATTTGCCCGTCTTTGGAAGGTGTGATTAGTTCCCAAATAAAACTCTTAATTTTTTCATCCCCTTTGTAATGCTTGACACAGTACACCAGCAGGGCCCGGCAAATCATCTCCATATCCTTCTCATTCAGGGGCCACTTGAATCGCCCGTGAGTCAGGATGTCCTTCCACCGGCCCCAGCTGGAGTGAGAGTACAGAAGGTGTTGGAGGAAGAGCCACTGACATATCCTTCACACCGCAGGAATCAAAGAGACAAGATAGTCCTCATCCTCTTACAGGAGGAGTATCAGTGACGCCCAAAGCTTTGTCTTGAAAGGCCTAGAAGGACTTATGACTACACTGCCCCACTTGTCACTACGGTGATATACACTGGTTCAGATGGCTGCTAGACTGCTAAGTAATACTGGGAAAAGAGAATAAGCTTGGAATTGAGAAAGTGCAGCTGGAGTGACCACTGCATAACCATGCTTTAACTGTAACATTCGTTGCTCTGATTCCTTATAATATATTCCTGGGTGGGAGAGAAAATCAGTACCAGGCAGCAAACTGGTATCAGAGATTGGCTGTGACATGTGTTTAAGCAGATCACAGTATGTTCATACTACAATATCAAGTCATGAGGGGAATTTGGTACAAAGCACAGCTTTCTTTTGCTCCAGCAGATGTCATTAGCGGGTATTCGGAGGGAGCTAGATGTTCACAGCACAAATCTTAAGGACTTAAAAAGACAGTGGGGATAACAGCACCCCCTTCCCACTGAGCAGAGCCAATACCTACCCAAAGATGAGCAGGTTCTTCTCTACTCGGAAGCACTCAGCGCGGAGGTAGCGTCTGGCTTTGTCACTGAGGCGCCTGGACCTTGTGGGCCTTTCATCTGAGTCACTGTCTAACTCTGAGAACTCCATAAGCTCGTCCTCCTCAAACGAGTTGTAGTGTTTGGTCTGCTTCCTCACACGTGGCCGGTCAATCACTAAGCTTTCCTGGAAATGGAGAAGACTGTGAGGAGGAGGCCCTCTTGCCTTTATTCCCTACCATAGTGTGCAAGCAGACTGCTGCCATTCCTCAGGGCACATCTGAGAAAGAACCAGCCCATGTCAACCTCTGGCAGGGAAAATCACGGATTCCAGGTCACCATGCCTCATCCAATCTTTCAGATGGATCCAGTCAGAACTTGAGAAAAGCTTTGAACCTTCCAAATATGCAAAGACTTGATAACAGATGTTAAAGCTAGCTTTCTTAAGACTAACCAAATTTTCTCATTTTCTTACCCTTCCCCACCCCTTTAAAGAATTGTTTGTCGCCCCTATTCAGAAGAAGCTATGGAGAGTTGTCAGCCCAATTCCCTGAGTTGGGGTGTTTGGTAATGGATATTTTACAAATTATAGATTAGTTGTCATTGTAAGGGATAATTTGGGAATGGTCATAATTTTAAACAGGGAGAAAATAAGTTGAATGGATTGTGTAGCCATAATCTTAATTGGTAAAAATCTTTATAATTGATGCAAAGTTTAAGTTATAATTCTTTATATTGGTACAAAATTTTGATACAGATTTAAGATTTTCATTGGTGTGTGAATTTCTTATACTGATACAAAATTTGAGATTAAACTTGTTACTCTCAGATAGGCATTGTGCCTAAGCAACTCATGTAAGAATACAAAGCTTAGACCCGGTCCTAATAACTGATATTAAAAACTGTTTTTAGATGATTAAGCAACACGTTAAGGGCCAGATAGCAAACTCATGGCTATGTTCTGATTTAATTAATTATAAGAAGATGTTTTCAATATATTTCAATTAGAAAGCGAAGAGTTCAGATTACCTTTTTTTTTTTTTTTTTTTAAATTTTTTTATTTATTTATTATATGTAAGTACACTGTAGCTGTCTTCAGACACCCCACAAGAGGGCATCAGATATCATTACAGATGGTTGTGAGCCACCATGTGGTTGCTGGGATTTGAACTCATGACCTCTGGAAGAGCAGTCAGTGCTCTTAACCACTGAGCCATCTCACCAGCCCGGGTTCAGATTACCTTATGTATATAGATAGTCTTTAAAAACATCAGAAATCCACAGAATGTGACATTTACTGTTGTTTCATCATTTGACAATGAGACATGTCTGCTCCTGACAGCATCCCCTTCTTGGTTCAAAGAAGAAATGGAGCATGGATGTAGGTGCTCCAGTTGTGGGAAGATAGTCACTGGGCAGAAACTGTCTACTTCATCTACAGACAAAATACTTTCCAGGAAAAGGACACATTATGTGGAATAGTTGACTGACAGCTCTGCTAATACAGTCGTCAGTTGCCTCTACAATTGTTTAAGTCTGAGAAGCTGTGTTTGTTGCTTCCTATTTATACCCTGGTAATGTTTTTAAGTCCTTCTCGGATTTCTGACAGGGTTGAAGACTAGTTATAGTCTCATAATCAAACTCAACTTGTTTAACACTGAGAGGTTAGAGAGTAGAAGACAGGGTTTTCAGATGGCATTACAGGCTAAAATCTAAACAATCCAGGGATAGAATCATAATTCTTTAAGTTAGGAATGATGGTAGAATACTTTATCTAACTGACAACTATGATGAACTAGATGTCATTTGTATATCATACTTTGTAATTTACATGATTGTTATAGTTTTGTTCAATTTATGTCTGGGAGAAGAGTTTTTTGTTTTAAATTGGACGGTGAGGTGTTCCCCAATTGGTTCTTGATCTATGAGTAAAGAAGCCATGGGCTATTGCTGGGGGAATAGAAGGGACTTCCAGGTTCTTGCAGGCAAGTACACAGATGCGAGGGAGGGAAAGAGAGAGCGCTCGCCATGCTTCTGAGGAAGAAAGGTAAACAGCTATGTGAGATCTCAGCTATTTGAGATCTCAGCTATGTGAGATACGAAGTGGCCATAGGCTGCTCCTACAGGTGGGTAGTTGGGGATGTTGTGCTGGGATTAAAGGTAACTGAACAACTAAAGTTGAGGACAGATTCAGGGTGCTGAGTTAAGAGTATTAGGGTGGGTATGCCAGTCACAGGAGTTTAATGATGCCCAGCAATTGAGCCATTAAGGCAAGATAAAACTGAACAAATGTGTGTGTCTGTGGATTCAAGGGAATCTGGGTGGGGGCTGGTAGTCCAGTCCATTCCCAGAGCTTAGGTGGGGTAGCAAAAGCTACTTGCAACAGTACACCTGCTGTATCTATGACCACAGACAGGACAAGCAGAGGGAACTCTCAGGAACTTGCTCAAGCTGTTATTTCTTAGTCCCCAGCACTGTCACCACCATCTGTTGTTTCTGCCATCATTCCAGCAAGTAAAGCCCCCAAGTGCCCAAAGTGGCAGTCTTCTCTTTCCAGAAAAGACTGGAGTGGGAAGCCCAGCTGTTCTGCTCAGCAAACAGAGAACAGTCTGAGCTCTGGAGACAGGACAGGTGAGAGGATTTCATCTGCTTAGCAACTTTCTGAAGAAAATACACCCTATGACATCTATTATCTGCTTCCTTTAGATATATCTATTAACTTTTTGCTAAAAGGCAAAATTCCTGCCTCAGGAACCTTTTGTCAGTGGCTTCACTGGACATGCCAATTGCTTCTTCTCTAGCCCCAGTATATTCTTCTCCTTATTCTTTCTTTATACACTTGTTCCCAAGGCTAGATGAAACTCCAACACCTGTCACTCATCAAAGCAGTCCAGGCAGTTAATTTCTAGTGTCACTGTGCCTCAGTGACCCATTGTCCTACTGTGGAGTGCTCTGGTTGCTTTTTGCTGCCTATAGGGAAGGAGATCTCTACCCACCCACCCAACTGTCCTGCCCACAGAGTGGCTCCTTAATGGCACTTCAAGCAGGCAACTATAGAAGCCCACAATCCTCTTTAAGGAGGAGAATCAACATTTCTATTTGGAGAAAAGAAGCCAGCTTAAGGAACCAGCAATAGTTAGGCTAACAATTATGTGGGTTTTGTTTACTGACTTAGCTAGATTATAAGAAGAAACTGTCTTCCAGGTCTGTGGGTCACAAAGTTTAACCTACACTTGAGAAAACAGGAATGAAGACTTTGCATTCATCCTGAAGTGAGGCGATGGTGTCAGGGAGAGAGGAAGGAAAACTAACATTTCATAGGTATCTCATAGTTAGCCAGGCAGTAGTGCCAATCATATTCATGATGTGCCCATGACTCTGATGTTGGGGCATCAATATCGCCTTTCCCACTTGTCTGGGTAAGCTTAAGAGGGTTGTATAAAGGCTGTACCTTTTCATTATTTGCTTCAGTGTCTAATTCAGCTATTTTAGCCCATTTCTGCCAAAAATTAGGATCATCCAAGGAAATATCTGTTCTGTTTCCTGAAGCCACAAAACTAGCCTGTGAAAGAGACAAAAGTTAACAAGTTCAGTTTAACAGAATACAAAAACACAAGTATCAAACCTAATTTCAAATGCACTAGAAACATAAAAGCCATCCATGTCAAAACTAAAAACCATAACAGTACTTCAAAAACCTTAAATCTTAAAACAATTCATTTTTCTTCCTTTTAAAGACTAAGGAAATAAAAAGTCTCAATTTATAGGTTCATTTCCTTGAAACTTAAAAACTTCAAAGTAAAAAGACATTCCTTTAGACAATAGCAATGCATTACCTGATGTCTAGTGTGGTTTAAAAATAGTATTTATTTGCTTTTTAATGATACAAAGTATAACTAAGTACACTTAAGCTGGCCTTAAGTGTGCAATACTCTTGCTTTATCAGCATACTGGGAGCTGGACTTACTACATAGTCTAGGCTAGTGAGAATCTGTGATCCTTAGCCTCTCAAGTAGTAGGGATGAGTCATGCACTGTGATGCTTGACTAAAATGGTGTATAAAAGGTTATCTTCTCTCCCTTCCCCTCTCATTAAGACAGAGTCCCATGTATCTCATGCTGGCTTTTGGCTCTTTATATAGCTAAGGATGATGACCTGGAACTTCCGTATCCTCCTGCTTCCTTCTCCTCCACCTCTAGCACTGGATTAGAGATATACTAAACTCAGTTTTATGTGGTGCCAGAAACTGAATGCAGGGCTTAGTGCATGCCAGGCAGGTACTCTACTAACTGAATTAAATTTCCAGCTACCAGGTCCTAAAGGGTTTAATTTAGAAGATTTTTTTTAAAACTTTCAGTTTCATAGTAAGTAAGTAAGTAAGTAAGTGTTTTAAAAATGGCATTGGGGTGGAGGGAAGGCCTAGTAGTATACAACTTTAATCCCAGTACCTGGGAGGCAGAGTGGCAGGTAAATCTCTGTGAGTTCTAAACCAGTGAGAGCTACACAAAGACCATATCCCAAACCCCAAGTCAACAAAAACAGCAACAAAAAACCCAAAGGAGGCGCTGGGCTGGGGAGAGATCCAGTGGGTAAAGTGGGTGCTCTGCACGGGTGGAGACTGGAGTCGGCTCCTGCATGATCAGGTTTGGCAGGAGTGGCAGCCACCTGTCCCACCACTTAGGAGGCAGACACAGGGCAGGATAGTAGGATTAATTATCTCGAATCATTGAGTTCCAAGTTTAGGGAGAGATACTACCTCAATATAAACACAGTAGAGACTAATCAAAGTAGACATCTAATGTCATGCGTGTGCACATGCATATTTTGAACATGCATGCATATCACACACATTAAAAAAATGGAACTGGGTTGATATGAGGTGTTGAATGAGATGCTGTTTATCTATATTTCCTCTACCATGTACAAAATAAAATGCTCTCCTGAACAAATCTTGACATAAGATAGAAGACTGATCATAACAGGTCTCAAAAGCTCCCATGGGAATTTAGCAGAGCCAGCAGCCAGGGCAACCCGTGGATAAATCTGCAGAGGTCTAAACCCAGCGACTTGAACAACAGAGGAAGGTGAGCCTCAGTCAAGTGGCTGGGAATCTTTTGAAAAACCCATTCCTGTGAAATGAAAAATACCTGCTTGAATTTGAGGAATGGAATGTGCAGTCGAGGTTCACTCTGACAGTGTTAAAAGAAAACTTTACAAAAGCATGAAGATGTCCACTCAAGGGTTCTGGAGCAGTTCTTGAAAGAGTGGAGAGAAAAAAGTACAGACTACTGTCTAACTGCATGTGGCCACTAGCTTCTCTTTACTACAGTCTGTGTCTCTAAGTGTCTATATCATCAAGAGATTGTACTTGCAGGAACAGAAGCTGCATTAATGAGCTAAAAGAAGAAACAGTGTTCTCTTACCTTCTCAAATGACCACAGGGATTGGGGGTGGGGGGAATCACCTACCTTAGCAAAAGTGGACCCCTTCCCTTCTGACTGGATGGTGATGGTGTGGGTTCTTCTCTGCAGAATCTGGTCTATATCTTCTTCACAGAACTTGGAGCCTTCGTCTTCCTCGTCCATTAAAGCTCCATAAGCACCTTTCCGGAGCAAGTCCTCCACTTCCATTTTTGAGAGCTGCTGTACCTGAGCAGGTCACCAAAGTGGAAAATGCACAGGAAAAAACAGCCTCAAATGTGGCCCTCATGATTCAGGATATAGCTGCCCTACTAATTGCACACATCAGGAAGACAAGCCAGATGAAGGAGCCCTGGCTACTTTGCAGGGCAGCCAGGTAGGCATTTTCTATAGGGAGCCTTGAAACAAAGCCTAACACATGAGCCAAAGGCCTAACATTCTTCAGGACACTGGTTATCATCAAATGTCATAAGCTATTAAAACTATGCACCATTGGAGAGGATATACTTGACATCTTATTTTAATATTTTAGTTTGAGTTTATATCTTTAAAGCTTCCAGATGTGTACCACACGAGCTGAGAAAAAATGATTTATTCATTATTAAATAAGTATATTTATATTGGAAATGATGTCACCCCTTAACTAAAAAAAAAAAAAAGGAACCTGTGCCAAGTGTGATCTTTCAACCACTTGTTGAAAACAGGAAATAGAGTTCAAAACATCCTTCCCTGGTTCTAATTAACAGTCTGGTTCTCTTTATTCCAATCACAAGAGGGAATTCCCTAGCTCCCAGGATGGGCAATTTGGAGTATGATGGTTAGTAACACATGCACAGCTAAGGGTATAGAACATCTGCACTAAGGTCTCAGCTCTATTTCTGGTGCTCTAAGTCCAACGGTGAAGGACTTCAATATGCTGTTCTGTACTTGAAAACAATTTAAGAATTTTAGCAATAATTCTTAACCCTCTCCAATCCAGACCAAAAACATATGTTGTCATTGTTTTGAGACTGGGTCTTAATGTACCCAGGTGGGCCCTGAAAATTCACTGTGTAGCAGAGGCTTGCTTTGATCTCCTGATGCTGCCTCCACTTTCCATGTGCTGGGATTATAAACATGTGTTACTATGCCCAGCTAGACAAAGAGTTAACTGTCATACTTCAAGCTAACATTTATTTATTTATTTATTATTCACTGATCATCACACAATGAAGATCTTTGAAATACTGTACACTGCTAGGGTCACAGGACACAGACAACACTGACTCCATCACATCATCAAGAAGGTCAAAGTCAAGCTGGAGAGATTGTTCTGTGGTTAAGAGCACTTGCTGCTCTTACAGAGGCATGGCTCCTAGCACCCACATGACAGCTAATAACTATTTGTAATTCTAGTTCCAGGGGATGGAATACCCTTTCCTAGAATCTGAAGTCACCAAGACACACACATAGTACACATGCATACATGCAGGCAAGCACTCATACACATAAAATAGAAACAAGTAAATCTTAATAAGAAAAAAGCAGCTCAAAGTCTGGTGTGTGAGATTAGGTAAGGTAACAAATCCATTATAAGAATGTTAGGCCTTTGGCATATGCATAAATATATATATATAAAAACAAACACAAAAACCCTACCAGTTCTGATGGGTGTGGTTAAACTTTTCTTGCATACTGAGCAGCCCTAGCACACCCATCTCCCAGACTGCCTTTATCCATTTAGAAAATGCGGGGACTGTTTCCAGATAATATTCTGTATGGGGAATTACCTAACTATGCTATGGATGACTGAGTCAAAATGGTGAAAGGGAACCCAGAAAACAGCTTTCAGAAGGAAAACTCTGACAAGTGCTCCTTCTTGGTTTACTTTTGAGACAGCCTCACTAACTCTCCCAAACTGGTCTGATTCAGAGAACCATCTGCCTGGTGCTGGGATCAAAGGCACATGCTCCTCAGTGCTCCGGGCAGGTGCAATGTACTCACTCCATTGGTGCTGCCCTTTCTGTTGATGTCCTGAAGAATAGCCTTGTCCAGGCCCAGCTTCAAGCTAGCCTTGTCAAACATTTCCCGTTCATACGAGTTTCGAGTGATTAGGCGATATACCTTCACGGCTTTGCTCTGGCCTATACGATGACACCGGGCCTGAGCCTGGGAAGAAGGGTCACACACATTTTGTCACCATATAAATACACTCACATTTCACATGGATACAATGACAGAAGCCCCTGTGGGGTGAGTGGTCAACTTTCACAGCTGGTGTCTTGTCATGTTGGGAGTTACTCCTTTCTTTACCAACAGGTTCACAGACTACTGGGTGGAGAGGCAAAGCTATGAGAAGAACACAGCTGTCCTCTCCCCCTGACTCATGGTCTTTGTGCAGGCATCTTGGGTGGTGAGGCTCACCTCAGGATGCTGTTCTACCTCTATGAATGCGTCAGAGGCGGGCACACTGCTTCTCTTCTATTTTTAAATTTCAAACACAAAACCAGAGAAAAGCATAGTGACCCTTGTGGACAATCTTGCTCCCTTCCTACCACACTCCAGAATGACGATGCAGCAAATCCTAAGCAGAATGCTTCTAATTCTTATATATTTTAATATGGACTTCTAAAAGTAAAACATACCACATCACCACTCCTGTACTTAAAATCACTCCTGTTCTTTTCCGCCTGCAGCACTGGAGATTGAACAAAGTCTTACACATTCAAGACAAGTGTTCTGCCTCTAAGCTACGTGCCTCTACAAACAAAATAACTCTCACTATCAACCAACCTTCCCACTCAGCTGTTAATGCAATGTGCTGCTCCTCTGTTTTCCCACCTTGCTTACTGTATTTGTGCTATGTCCCCAAGTGGGTGCTTTTGCCCCCTTTATTTCCTCTAATCTGGAGTTATAGCTTGCAACTTTATTAAATTAAGATCTGACTTTTGGACAGGTATATCATAGATGGGCTTTCAAATTTCATCAACAAGCACATTTGTCTGCCTGTCTGTTATGAAATAGAAGACCAGTGTATATATGCTTCTTTATTATGGGTTATGATTGTCTTCATTAATATTTTGGTTGCCCTAACATACCATTATTAGGGTATATTATTAAAGAAATTATTAAAGAAAAATTAAACATTTGATTCCTAATAAAAACCTAATAAGGTTTTTAGTATTAGTTCTTTAAGGAACACAATGAAGCCATATAATACAGTTGTTATGTTTTATTGCACTTAGTTCTTATTGTTATTGCTGTTCAAATTTGGCCTATGGGAGACTTCCTCAGACTGATCCCTGAGCTCTTTCAACATGGTCCAGAAAACTATGGAGAGAGACTCTACAGAATGACTCTGTGATGTTAGAATAGAGGTGTCAGTATGATTCAATGGTTAGGGGTGCATGTGTGTACACATATATGTAAAAAAAAAACACAAATAGCTGTGTGTTTGTGCCTGTACATTGTATCAAAGATCAACAGTCTTCAATAATTACCTTATTTATAACATATTCCATGGTTCTTTTTGTATGTCTTATATAAAGCTAGACTCACTTATTTAAAAAGGAATCTTGTTTTTTGTTTTTTTCTTTAATAAGAAATGTTCACCTCCCAGAAAGCAGGCAGAAGGGTGTCCCTGACACTGACTATGAGGACTGGCCACGCCATCTATGTGAAGCTTACAGGTCCCCTTGCAGACTTGAGTGCTTTCTTGCTCTGATTGAAGTGAACGTGAACAGTGAGACTGTGTCTTGGCTCTCAGGTGAGTGAAGACAGTGGTAGAAGAAAACAACAGCCTAAGATCCCTGCTTCTGTTTCATAGTCTTATTGCAATCCCACCATCCGGAATAGAGTAACAAAGCAGTAAAACCATGGCTTAAATGCCAGGCTGTTTAAAGGAAGCTACTTTTCCACTGAACATGAGTCTGAATGACTGGGGTTGGGGAGGTGAATCTAAGTCTTAAGTCTGCCTATCAGACAATCAACCTGGTTAGAATCAGATCCTTCCCCTATCTCTATGGCTAAAAATGACACCAGAATCCTTTCTCAGTGCTCAAATGGCATGAAAACAGAAGCCTACCAAGCAGAGACCAACTTCATCTAATGGCTTATCTTGGCTGTCAACCTAATTACATCCAGAATCACCTAAATAATACTAGGCATGTTTGTAAGATTTTTTTCTCTTTTAAAGACTTTTATTTATTTATTTTACATATATGATGAGTACGCTGTAGCTGTCTCCAGACACACCAGAAGAGGGCATCAGATCCCATTATAGATGGTTGTGAACCACTATGTGGTTGCTGGGGATTGAACTCAGGACCTCTGGAAGAGCAGTCAGTGCTCTTAACCACTGAGCCATCTCTCCAGCCCTGCAAAAATGTTTTCTTAACAGGATCATTTGAGATAGAAGACCACCCAAGATCTGGGATACACCTTCAGGTAGCAGCCCACATAAAAGGACATGGAAGAAAAGAGCTTTTGCTTACTCCTGCTGGCAAGTTCATGTCCCCTGTAACCATGTCAGTATCAAATTCAACTTCTGAAAACCAGAAGCTGTCCAGGAACCCTTCTCGACTTCAGGGCTCAGTGGGATGGCACTCAACCACCAGATCTCAGTCTTTCTCCTGTCACCACTTTTTAACACCACTCTATTAATTCTGTTCCTTTAGAGGAACCTGACTAATATGCATGGCTGTCTGTCAATGACAGTCTCACAAAAATAATACTATAGCAATCCACAGAAAGCACTAACTACTAAAAACAATGTACGTCTTTTGTTTTGATTTTTGTTTTTCCAGACAGGATTTCTCTTTTAACAGAGCCCTGGCTGACCTAGAACTCACTCTGTAAACCAGGCTGGACCTGAACTCACAGAGATCCACCTGCCTTTGCCTCCTGAGTGCTGGGATCAAAGGTATGCGCTACCATGCCCAGCAAGTACTTTTTAATGAGAATTTTTTGCACAGTGGTGTTTGAGTGAGTGTGTGTGTGTGTATGCATGTTCGTGCGTGCACAAAAGCAAATGCATGCAGAGGTCAGAGTGTCTCATTTTACTGCAGGTCTTGATACATGTTCTCAATGAACACAAGACAGCCAATCTGGCTAGACTGGCTGGCTGGCCATCAAGGTGCAGGGATCCTCCTGCAGGTACTGATGTTATAAAAAGCCTGGCCTATTAATGTGGATTCTGGGTGACTGACTCAGGTCCTCATGCTTGCACAGTAAGCACTTTACCACCTGAGATCCTCGTCTTTCTGTGCCCTCTAATCCCTCAGCGCTGCGTACCTTGTTAGGTGTGCACAGACTACATTTGGGGATATGCTTGGAAGTAGGCTTCTTGTATGCAGTACAGCTGCTGGCAATCCTGAAATGACTGAGCAAGTAAGTAAATATTCTGGGATGACAGTTACTCCTGTCACTTCTTGGAGAAGAAAGTTATGAATAGGAAAGAGATGAAGATTAGAATAAACTCTATAGTATTAGAAAGAATAGAAGGAATCAAGTTATTAGTGGTGATCAGTGTGTATATGTACCTCCAAATATGTAGGCATAGCTAGGAAAGATCTGAATGCATCTGCTCGTATTTACATATGTTTTTCTAGACCTATACAGATGAATGAATAATATATATGCATATATATGTATATGTGTGTGTGTGTGTGTGTATAGTTTCTCTAACTGTATACTCTAGCTATTTACATTTTGAAAGCTTAGAAGCAGTGCCATCCTGGTAGCAGTCAACATACCTACCAACTCTTAGATCTTGGCTTCCAAATACAATTCCACACAGACAAAGCATATTAGAGAAGTGGCTAATATGTAGAGCTGAAGTTATTTTCTTCCCCCCTCCCCAAAAAAATCGGGCACAGCCACACATAGCTGTAATTCTAGCTACTGTAAGTTCAAGGCCAACCTAGGTAACTTAGTAAGATCCTGATTCAAAATAAGAATTGAAAAGGGTTGGTAATGTAGTCATCAGTGAAATACATACTTAATATGCAAGAATAATATATCGCGCACACACACACACACACACACTCATACACAAACACATACACACAGCAATTGTAACATTATCTGAACATCGAAACAAAAACACTAACAAATTACAATTCACTGAACTCAAGAGCCATGAGTGCATACTGACATAAATCAGAGAAAAAGGAAAAACCTCTGGAGTAGTATGTCAACTAACAAACATGTGTCAAGCCACGCTGTCAGAAGAATAGCACTTTGCAAGCAGCAAGTGACACCTGGTTCAAGTAAAGATAACTAAAAGAAACTAAAACCACAAATGAAACTTTGGCAAGAAAACAAGCACAGTCTCAGTATATTTCTCTAAAACTACTTAAAATTTCAAAGGAGTAGGGAAACAACATGATCAAAGTGCACCTAATCAGACAAATGAAGACCATGTTTCTGTGATTCTGATTTCTGAGAAAGATATATCAGTTCAGTACGGATGAAATCTGAACTCACTCCTGAGCAAGCAGATAGTCTGCTTTAGAAGCAGCCTACAGGTCAGTCAGCTACCACTCAGCAAAAACTTCAAAGAAAAAGAAAAGCTGAGGAGATGACCCAGATTAAAGGAGGCTAAAAAGACAAATGTAATGTCAATCCTAGATTTGATCTTGAGAGCTACAAACGAGCAGAAAAGAAAAGAAATGGTACTACTTCAATATAGACTAGAGGGTGTTGCAGGAAATAATAAAAAAGAAATTCGCCAAGCTCCTAAGCCTGAGCCTGCTACTCTCTGCCCCGTGGGCTGGCCGGCTATGCATTGGTTACATGGCCAGCTTGCTCTCATCTTGTGGAGACTCTTGACTCAGGGCTCCAAAATCTCTCCTCCGCCTGCCGACTCTGTTGCCTCCATGCCAGCCCCACGCAATGACTGCCCACCTAGTGGTTAGATATCACAATACCCAATAATCTGGTAAAATCAAAACTCTTGATGTTTATAATTAACTAGTCAGATTTATATATTAACAAATCTCAATTCACAAGATGCCCTCACAGTAATTTCAGGGTCAACTGATAAAGATACAAGCTGCCCAACTGGATAAACAAGTTATCCCCATTATTCTATCCCTACATGATGTTCATAATCACCTGTGGCTATTTAAGATCACAAGGGATCAGGATATTCTTTCTGTCTGTCCTCCATCTTGATTCCTAACTGCCCCCCCCCAATCTTCTGAGATGCTCTCTCCCTCCAACTCTTAGCTCCACCTCCCCTTTCCCTGTCCAATCACAGGCCTCCTGCTGTACTAATATTTTAATGTAATTGGACAGGGAAAATCCTGCCACAAGAGGATTAATGAATAATGCTCTAAGGAAGATTTCCTGATTCTAAGAACTACACTATGGTTATACAAGAGTAGGACTTTGTACTTATGGAATAGAGAAGAGACCCAAGTGTTTAGAAAGTAAAGGGTCTCCCGCCCCTACAGGTGTTGCAGGTGTAGCTGCTGTGTCACACGTGTGTCAGCAGGTGTCAGAGATAAGAAAGGCCATGTCTATACTCAGTGTTCTGACTTTTGAACATCTGAATAATCAGTAGCCTAAGATTCCCTGAAAAATGTGAGCCTGATAAGTTTGGTGCTAGGCAGGCCTGGACCAGCTCCCAGGACAGAGAATAAGCTGGAGACTAGAAGAACCCTGCATGGGACCTTCCCCTGCCCCACTGGAGTGAACTGAGACAGGGACTCTTCCAAGGGACCACTCAGGTGGGCCAGGCGAGGAGTGAGCCTGAAAAGACCACCAAACATTTGTCATGAGGCCCAGACAAGGAGCTAGCCTGAGATGACCACCAGTCTAGCACTGCATAAGCCCTGGAGGCCAGACCATACCCAAGATGACTCCTCCCCAGTACCATAATGCATAATTGGGGCAAAGCACTCCTGAGACCACTCCACACATGCAGAGATTCTGGGTACCACTAAGAGGAGCAAGTCAGTGGTGGAGAGATGGAAGAGAAAGAGAAACAGAAGGATGTGGGCACAGTGAAGAGAGGTGGAACTGGAGACTCGAGGGTAGTGAGGAACAGCCTGACGTGAGGAGCTGGTGGTGATGCTATGTAGGACCATAGCAGGGTCCAGGCCTGTGCTGCCAGGGATGGAGGAGAACATTTGGGTTGGTGGCTCTGCAGTAGCAGGGTCTGTTACCACCAAAGGCCAGGCAGATGTCCCTGGTCTGGGCTACCATCAGGGATCAAGTGGATGTCTGAGGGCTATGCAGAACTGGCCCCACTCCTAACCTGGAGAACATCATGGGAGAGCTGGCCCTGGGGGCATGAATGCAGGAGAGTTGACCCTGCCCCTAGCCAGCTACAGTACTTGAGAGAATGAGCCCTGCCCATTTCAGGAGTTTTGGGTAAACAGCTTGGAGCATGGTGGCTGGCCTAGGTGAAGGAGAGACAACCTTCCTCCCCGCTCCTGACCTGTGGCAAGCAGGAGACCTGGCCCTGCCTCTCACCAGCTGCAGCTCTCTGGAACAGGCCCCACACCTCACCTGGGCAGCACAGTAGAGCTGGCCCTGGTAGTGAGGGTATACAGGTGAGCCAGCCTGAGGGTGTGAGAGTGGGAGTGTTGGTCCTGACACTTGTCTACCATAAGATGACACGAGCAAGGAGACATGCCATTCCCTTCTCCCAAGGGCTCTTGCCACTTATGGCAGACAAGAAAGCTGGCTCTAAGGTCATCAGAGTGGAAGACCCTCACTGGCTGCAGCACTTGGGAAAGCAGGCCCTGCAACTCACCTGGGCAGCAGGGAAGAGGTGGCCTGTTTGAGGGGGCTGCTGGTGAGCCAGCCCCGAGAGCAGGAGAGCCGGCAGGATGATCAGCTCAGATTCCTCTAGGGCCCAGATCCTGGGCTTTGAGTAGGCCTACCCCAACATCTACCCCATCACTGAAGAGGTTGGTTCTACATATCCAAAACTATAGGATCTCCACAACACAGGACAACAACAGAATATCTGAGAGGAATCCCAGTGAAGTTCCTGTCATGATAGACTAGCAGAAGCCAGAGGCCTTGTACCTGACCAACAAGTTATTGCAATGGACATTTGCAGGAAAAGAAGTGTGGATAAAGGGTGTACTGTGGGATACACTTGATACTCTATAGCTTCCACAGTTAAGATTTGTTTTTTCTTGTTGGGGGTGAGGATGTAAGGGTGGAGGACGGAGATGAGGGGACAGGGAGATGAGAGGGATTGGGGTGCATGATGTAAAATTTACAAAGAACCAATAAAAAGTTAAAAAAAAAGAAGGTAAAAGCTTCTATGGCTCCTAATTTATTTTCAATTTAAATGTATGTCTATGTACATACTCAGAGAAAAGGACTGAAAAAACGGGGCAAATGTGATAAAGTAAACAGGAAAAATACAAACCTAGTTGGTGAAATCTAGATAACAATCTATCAGAATTGAAAAATAAAAAACTATATATCAAACAAAAATGCATAAATGATTTGTATTTTTAATTTGCTTATTAGGGGCTATGCTGTCTCTCTAATACACAGAGAGATCCAATTGTTCATTTGTTTTGAATTTTAAGAACTAACTTTCTGGCTGAGTATGGCACCACATAACTATAAGCCCAACTCTTGGGATGCAGAAATGGGTATTATGAGTTCAAAGACAATCTTTGATCCACAGGGAATTTGAAGTCAGTCTGGGGTATATGAGACTTTGTAGCAAAAACCCAACCAAACAACCTAGCATGGAAGAAAAGAACTAAACTAAGAATCTTTGGAAAAGAATGTTTTTGTTTATATACTGTAATATTATAGATGAAATAACCTACTATAGATTAGTGATCTGTTTTAGTAAGCTTATTTTTATAAAATAATAGTCAATAATCTTGACACTATTTGATTTTATGCAAGATGTGATTGAATGATATGCTGCTGAGATATGACCTAGCTGTGTTCAGCAGAGAACAAAGACTGTGACTAGCCCCACAACAGGCTGGCATCAGAAACCTCACTCCAGGCGGTGTCTGCAGTATAAACAGTGTGTAGTTATTCACTTATTTGAGACAGGTCTCATGTAACCTAGGCTGGTGTCAATCCTGAAATGTGGATCAAGGCTGAACTTGAACTCCTGATTTTCTATTCCCACCTAAGTGCCAAGGTGAATGGTATTATACCTGGCTTCAGATCTTGACCACTAAACACTTTCCTCAAATAAAAAGAACAGGGACCAGCAGAGAAATAGCCAATTCTATGACCTTGTCAGAAAATGTTAACAGGAATCTGAATATTTTATCCAAAACACTGAGAAAGTGCTTAGATGGTGTGAAGAGCATTAGGATAGTGAGGATCAAGGATTATAAAATAAAATACACAGCTGTACCAACACATAGCTGTAGTCCTAGCTACTCACAAGAGTGAAGCAGGAGGATTCTGTGAGCCCAGTAGCTGTGGGTCAGCCTGGCTGATGTAGTAAGACCCCAACATAAAACAAAACAGTCACTAACAAAATACAGAACATAAATATCCATGAATCTCTAACTAAATAAATGGGGCAAAAATAAATATTATTCAAAAATATAGAAAAAAAAATAATGGATACAAAATTTAGCATCAGCCAAACACTATGGTAATACTGACTGAGGGCAAGTCTCTGTTGGTAGATGTTAACAGCAATGTGGAAAGTGTGAGAAACTGTATTTGTAAGATCCCAAAATATCTACTCATAAGATACCTAACTAATTTTAAACAGTAGAAACTACTTTAAAATTGAAAAGCGTGGGAGACAGCAACTTGACCAAATCAAAATCTCATTACAAATAACTGGACAGTGACATCATGTGCTCCAACAGGAAGCACTGAGCAGGACACTAGGCTTTCTATGATATCCTTGCCTGCAATGCGTAACTTTATGTCTAAGAAAAAAATCAGTAAATACAAAACAATAAATCAAGGGACAATCTAAAAAGCTTGTCAGTACCTTTTAAAGTGTCACGGTCATCAAAGTAAGGAAAAACAAAGACACTGTCACACCCTGAAGGATGCTGTGGGGGCATGACTTCTGATGGAAAGTGATTCTGAGTCAGAAAAGTTTCCCACACATGGGATTCATGTGAATCCATTAGTAATACTGTATCTGTGTTAATCTCTTGGTTGCAATAATTCATTATATTACAGTTATGTAAGATGTTAATACCAAAATAAGTAAGGTGAAAGGTAAACTAACACTAAGCATTTTGACTCTTTTTAAAAAAGCTAAAAAATTAATCTGTTCAATAATGATATAGAATATTTAAAGTGGTTCTAAGATCACTTCTGTCATGTACATTGTTTCCTAGCTCCCTCTATAGGAAAGCATTTTTAAAAACACACAAACTGTTTTATTTTGGTTTGGTTTGGTTTTACCTTATCTTGGTCAGAGAGAAGGAGAGACAGGCATAAATATAAATAGCCCATTAAAAATAAATGCTAGTATTTAAGACCAGTCTGCCTAGATACTGAATTCCAGGCTAGCCAGAATTAACACAGTGAGACCGTCTACTCCCCAAATGAATGAATGCTAGCATATACAAATATATTTCATTTCTTTATTTTCATTCGCCAATATAGATTCCTGTTGAACCTTGAAAGGCAGCCTGGTTTCTGGTCGAGCACAGGCTAGAAACCACCGGAGACCCCCAAGTGATCCTGAGGGGCTCCAGGTGGGACTCAGACGATCCTAAGGGATGGTAGGCATTTCGCCAGGTCCCCAGACTCTAGGGTCCTGACAGGAGGCCACAGAGCCCTCCACAGATTTTTATCTTTCAGTCACATAAGGGCAATGTCCCTAACTAGCCCCTCCACAGGTAGAGGGCGTGACTACAGGCCAAGGAGACTCAAGACAGATCTTCATATTAATGACGTAATTAAAGGTCAGAAGGGCTTATCCAATTAAGTTCTCCTTCTCAGACCCTCCTCCTTGCAAAAGGTATTTAACCTCAGGCCCTCCCTGAAGAAATGGTGGGGGTGGGGGTGGTGGCACAGTTTTTCATCCATTTTCTACCATGACAATAAACATCATGAGACCACGGACTGTTTCTTTTCATTGGGATCTGCTGTGGAGAATAAGGCCCATGCCTACAGAGCCACCATCTAATCTCCTGCAGAAGACCTCTCTGCGTTCCCGCCACAGGGACCACCAACCCAAGCCAACCGAGCAACCATGACTAAGCCAAGGACCACCCCCACAGGGTGCACCCAGAGCTTCTTCAGGCCAATGGGCCAATCCAGCCTGTGAGCCTCCACTTCTTTCTTGGCTCTTCTGTGGCTTCCAGTGGTGTCTGGATGCCCAGGAGCCTGAAAACCAGTTCAGCTAGCTCCAGCTCCCCCACACCCATAGCCCGAAGCTCAACCTGCACCCAACGTGGGTAGAGTGCAGTCAATCTTCCATGTCTTGCCCCCCTGAGAGGCCCTAGCCCGGTAGAGGGGCAGACATGGGACCCCACCACTAACCCAACAGATTCCATAGCAGTTCACAGAGATATCCCTATTCTTTTTTCAAAAGTAAGTATATACTACAGTTTATTCAGTTTTTTTACTGACAGGTAATTGAATTTTTAA